GGGGNGGGGGGGAACTAGTTTAAGTCTCTTATCAAATGTTCTAATTGGAAAACGCGACAACTACGTCCATATACTATATTTTGCCATTGAGACTACGGTCTAAATCGAAGGGCCTTATACCCTATTAATTGCTTTGGATACTATTGTGGAGATAGAAGCAGAAGAGCAATCACAGGTAGCACTGAGGATAACCATACATCAGAATGATTTAACAGGATAAAACTCCACTTCCCCGCGATTCATCCAAAACCGACCTCACTAGCTTTTTGGTCATTTTTCACGCCTGTGACAGCTACCTCCAAACCAGTATGCCTTGTAACGTCCTCACGGAAAATTTGAGCGACACAGCACCAACATTTGACTGTCGCAGTACACCTTTTTGCTCACAGGTCAAAACTTGATATTTGAGTAAGTGTTCGGCTTTTTTCATAGGACTAGTCGTTTCAAAACTTACCTACTATTCCGATCTTCCGTTCGCTAACCATGGTGCACGCCATAATCACTCAATTTAACAATCATGATTTGCAACAAGTAATAAGGCCATCAAATGTCAAATAACTACGCACAAACTAAGCCACCCTTTCAAATTTCTACGATAAGGTCACGGAGTTGGTGGCATGGGTTCTGCCCACGCCACCAATTTCCCAGACATTATGTGCCCTTTAAAATGTCACGGCGTTCGCCCAAAAACTATTATTCACTCGGGCACTGCAGTGCCACACTCGACACCGACCAAGGGTCCTTACTCGATCAGGGCGAATGTTATCGACTTGGATTTCGTCGTGTGCGTCGAGAAGGTGGGAGGGAAAGGCCGACGGTGACCGGGTGGTGGCTGCGGTGAAGTCTCCATTCGCCTCACCGCCACTCCAACCAGCAAGGGGCGGTGGAGCCGAGGGGTCGAGGAGGTTGGTGCACTGTAGGCAGACAAACGGTCTATCCTCTGGCAGATGGCTCTTGTGGCGATCTCGACAGCTCTCATAGCAGTCAACGTGGACACCATGACCACACCTATGAAGGGTAAAAGTACAGCGATTACTTACCGTGGTTCAGAGGGAATATTTACTTTCCTACACGATGAATACAATATGCAATGCGTACGCTATAGAGTAGGGATCACTTTTAAATGTTATAAAGCGATAGTGTCATTACCGTAATTTCACTTTGAGTATGGCTACAGCTACTTTATTAAGCCTGTATCTTGTGGGGGCACGCAGAAGCGTTCATTCTTGCACGCATGAGCATACACACTTGGACCAGGATACATCAGTCAGTAGGTGTGACGCAGCCGTTCTCTATTCGATTACCGTACCACTGTTACAATAAACAAGCGAGAATTAGCAGTCCTCTAACAAGGCGAGATGAAACAGTGACTTCATAAACCAAATTCGATAGAGGTGGTAGATTTTATTCAATACAGACAAATTAGGTGTGATATGGAGTTATGAATACGGCGTGCCTGAATTGTTAGGAAAATGATAGTGATATTTTGCAGTATTCATTTGGAGTGACATTTCGGTGACCTATAGAAATGTGTTACCGTGATGTCACTACACGCAATCCAGTTAAAGAATATCGGCGAACATTTTGCAGGCCAGCCCAGTCCAAACACCGTGACAGTGACTGCGCGCATGCGAAGCTTGTAATGCTAAAAGAATTCTGTTGTAAACACAAGTGTGAAACTCGGACTTACGCGTGTTCGCTCGTATCTATGTTAGATTTCAAGAAGGGTAAGCAAATTGTATGCTCAGTTATAGGACGTTCGAATGATTTAAACATTCCAAAGTCTGTCAGCAACGACCCCGGCTAAGATGGTTTCCAGCCTATAGCCTAGTAATCATTCTAGTGAACAATTGGGGCGTGGAATGCCTGCCCAACCGTGGACATTTGATTGCATGGTGAAATAGCACAGGAGATGAGCCCTTCTATGGGAACAGTGAAGACAACCCAACCAAACACGAAAATGTGCATTTTCGGAATCAGCGCACTCTGAATAATTCAGATTTTGACCAGCACAGAAAAGTTGGATACAGTCGAAGGTTTGCAGGATAAATACAGAACAAAAGGGACGACGTGAAAAATAATGCCAGTTTTCACTCCTTGAAATGTTTTATCCTATAGAAATCCAAAAATTCCCGTTTGACATGAATGCCACTCGCTATGAATAATTTGACCACGATTATACCACGAAAATTTGAGCGTCCACGTACCGAAACACGTGGCAAAGATATTAATAAATAGAAAAGTAAGCCGTGGGATCGTCATTGCCAATGAGCTAATTAAGCTGAAAATGAGATTTATTGAAATACAACTGAAGTAACGAAATAAGATCATTAAGGATAACAACTGGTCAACAATAAACACCATCGCGTGATCGAGGACCAAGTGCAACAACTTTGAATTGGCATTCAAGCTACCGAATCCGCGGATTTCAGCTTAAATTCGCGAAAAATAATCTAGTTTAGTAACGAAGACCATGGAAGAAAACATGTTCAGCCATAAAACTGACAGGATTTTTACCAAAACAAGAGTACTTCCGATCGAGTCGGCTGTCTTTCATCAAGTGTAGAGAATCCACCAGTGTGAAGGTGACAGGTAACCAGGGAACGCAGCTGCCTGTACCTTCGAGCGAACGTGAGGCCACACAGGGCGCAGCTGTAGCGTCGCAGCCCCAACCCACGTTTCAGAGCTCTTACAAGAAGCTGCTCGAGCGCGTTGATGTCACTCGCCATGAGGCGATGGCAATCCTGCATAAGACTCACCTCCTTCTGCCACACACCCACCAGTTGAAGCAGAAAACGGTTCGTTGCTGAACCGAACGAAGCCACTGTGGCGTCAGAGAGCTGTGAAAATAACAAACCATCACTACTGAGGTGAATTCAGCCAACAGAAGATCATCCTGCTATTTCTTACCTGTAAAACGCGATTGATGAGAGCGGGAATAGGGACATAAGGACTGGCGGACTCCAACACTTTATGGAAGATGCCATTTAGTTCTAAAGAGGCAAGAAAGTAATCAAAGGTGCGACTAACCTGACGTTAGCTGGTCCGAGAGCTGCCGTTTTCGAAGAGCTGAGAGGGCATCGATAATGTCATACCAGGACGGCTAAAAGGCAAAATTTACGATTACGCCTTCTGGGGTGGATAAAGTCGCACCCTTTTATTAACATTTACCTCGTTGACAGATGAACGTTTGCTAGAGCACTGGCGGGCAGTGAAAGCGAACCAGGCGTCGGCACGTGAGCGCACCTGTTTGCAGTCCTCGACCCAGCCACTATTTTTCGAGGTGGGGGCAGTGCTGCAGCAATCAACAAGACGGTTCCAGTAAGCAAGAAAGTCCTTTAAATGTGGGAAAAAAAGAAAAAGAAAGACAGAAGGGTGATGCGATTGTTAGGCAACCAGATGGTAATGGTGGTGAAGGCGTTATCGACGAACCTTTTTTAGGAGATAGGTTGCTTTCTCCTTGTCTCCAATCTTCTCGTATATACAAGCAAGTTCCTGGGGGTAGGTTTCCTCGTCCAGTAGCTGAAATGGGGAAAAATGCATTTTTAGGGGTAGAAACTGGATTTACAAATCAAAATAGGAAATATTAGTTCCTCAACCAGTTACTAACGCATACAAAATAACATTTTATCGTAAGAGACCTTAGAAGCAAAAAGATAGAGTTATTAAATTATGTTCTCACGAGCACAGCACTTGATCAGACCCCCAAGGTTCCCACCATTGAGGACAGTTGTTAAGATTGGAATAAGTTGAAAATAACTAGAATCATTTGTTACATTAAACACCAAAGATTTACTCAAAAGAGGGTCAAAAAAATTTAAAATCGTGTGATTTATTGCTTAAAGGCAATCATCACAAGTACAAATCATTTTTTTTATTTGTCAAATTAAATCTTTTACAGGAAAAATGAGATCCACTGTGCTACCACAAGGAAGAGGCTAATCGCCTCTCTCAAAGTTCGATTGATTCGTACGCGTAGTGTTACCTATTCAACCGAAATTACACGCTTAGCAAAGATGGCCAGCAACCTCAGAAGACGTCCCTGGTTCGATTTCCCGGAAAGTTCCATTTTCATGGCTCAAGCGTTGCACCCTTGCTCAGTCCCTCCTGATTGGCTGATATCACATACAGATCTAAATTAAGTGTACCAATATTCACTATGTGGCCAAGGTCAACCAAATACTAGAGATGAGACTGAAACCGCCGAGTGCCTCCGGCAATCTCCACCGCCAGCTAGCTAGTAGAGAGTACGAACAAGTCGTACACTCTTGATTATTCATATCCGTCGACAAGTAGTGACATCTATATCTACCGAATCCATTCTCACGCTCATAAGTACCAGATTATAGCGATAGTTGTGATTGGCGACTGTTACCTTTGACTGACTCTCGGTAAGTGCTATGCGCGGCCAAACAGCAGACGAATAATTCGCCAGATGCAGCAGAGAAAATGGGAACCCACCTCAAGGAGAACAGAGGCTCGGTACTCCCTGTTGAGAGTAAGGAACTCGCAGACTCTCTCGCGTTGGTTACTTGCAAGGAGGAGTCGCACGTAGAGCTCGGCCACTAGGGGGTCTGGTTTCGACAATAGTTCGTCCAGTGCCAGACGAAGATTTGTGTTTCCCGCCAATGTAGCGATCATATTCTCTTGCTCCAGTTCCGGCATCTCAGAATGCCTGTCAGTTTGTAGCAAAGCAAAATAAAAGAAAATGGAGCTTCATAGAAAAATTGGATAATTAAATCACAGTGGCGAGAAGAAGGTGGCGAATTTACTATCGTCGACGAGGAAACAGGACTTGAAGCTTTGTCCGATAGTCTGATCTGAGAATTGGCCTCAATTATAGGCTGCATACTTAAGCTCAAAAAAGGAAAAAAGGCAACACCTAGCTCAGAGTTTCTTCAGCGTCAGCGAAGAGTGGATGTAAGGATATTACTCTACGGGGGTGTAGTCACACCGCTTAAGAAAACTGACAGGCAGCTTAGACATACTGAAGATATAAAAGAAATGACTGTAACTTAGCCATCTTAATTCAAAATAAACGATAATACAAATCCAACGACGCTCATTACAGAAATAAGAGATCCAAACAGTAGGAAAAACAAACTTGAAATGAGGTCGGGCTAAACCTGTGTATTCAGTCAAAGCGCGAAAGAACCACGGATACGTAAAATCCAGCAACTAAAAGTGGGTAACGGCCTCACTAACTGGTTCTAAATGAAAGACAACTCATAGCCTGTTTCCTTGTTCCAAATAAAAAGTCCTACCGATATCCCTAGGTTGAAATTTTCCCTAGGAAAATCAGAAAATGAATAAAGCTGCATCAAAAGCACTGAAGACCGACACCATGGAAAAGGTGGGCGCAGCCAAGATCTTGTTGAAGCTTCAACAATCTCATTCGAACAGTGGATAGAAGAAATGCAGATCAAACTGGTAATCTTTCGAGTCCATTATCTGCCACCCATTGTCAGCGCAAGTGGATGGGAGCCAATCCTTTACTTTCCACAACTATTTGACGCAAGCTAACTGTTTAAACACACAACATCGACAAAACTAAAAGTTCTCAGTTCTTGACAGGTTGGTCTCACTAATTAGTTCTTCATTATCATCGGGAAGAGAAAGGCTTCCTTAACGTGATACAGTTGTGCTTAAGTGTCTTCTCACAAGGATCAGATTATTTCTCCAAAATTCCCATTCTGCGTCACTACGCTTTCCCAAATGCTAAGAAAAACTACTACAGTTATGGAACTAAGATTAAAAAGGTGAAAGAGACAAGTTCGAACGGGATTTTGTAAAATGAAGATTCGAAGCAAGAGGAAAGTAGTACGGAGAACAATGAAAAATTCAAGCAGTTGTATGCATCAAACAAGTGCCCACAAGTCACTCCAAGTTATTGCACCAAGTCAAACCGAAGATTGCACAAATTTGTGGCCAACTGACAGACTAAACCAATACAAAATGAAGTTTTCTAAATTGAAACGACAATCTTCATGGTGAAATACTGATGTTACACATCACTGAAACTCACAGCAGTTCGTAGAACGGCTCAAGAATGAGGATGGCAGCAGGGTGATGAGGTCCCTCGACAACTAAAGGAACCATCTCATCGAAGGGTATTTGAGAGGGTTGGGAGGAGGTAGGGTGAGAGAGAAGATTACGAGGAAGGGGGTCATCACTCATGAAAATGGTGTCCAAAGCGTACAGGATGCGTCGCATTGAGGGACCGATTGCTTGCATCAGGAGAATCAGAGAACGTAGCGGATCCAAATGGGCATAGGGCTGGAAGATGGGAGGGGCAGATAATACTGGCCGACCCAGTGGACATAATCCAATGAAAATATTAGGCCATGGTGTCGATGCCGACTGGTAGACGAATTCTCACTTTGACAATGGATCATTACACGACATTTTAGCTATATGGCTGACTGGACCATGCTATTAATAGAGGCGTAAGTTTAACGGGTACTATCAACTGAGTAAGTAAACAAAATAGATGAAACTATGTCTTTACAATTACGTGTAACAGCTTTTAACCATTTTCAATGCTATCTATTTTGTACAACTGATGTGTTGCGTTTGAGGCTTTATACAAGAAAACGAAAGTGTTACACATCTGAAGTAGCATAGCACAAACAGCTTAAATAGCATAAAAGGTTATCTTTGTTGCTTATAAGACTAGGCAGGTAGAAATAGTGGAACGGAAATTCATTAAGAGTCAGGACCAAGTAGTAGGTAGACTTATCTCAAAAGTAAATAATATTACAGATTCCTCGTTGCTCTTCATAAGTGACAATAAAATTTTGAGAAGTCCTAAAAACGAAGATAGTATTCACCTCAAGCGGTGTATCATTAGGAATAAGACCTATCTTAGTAACGTTCTCAAAGAATTCGAAACCTCCCTGTGTGAAATGGAAGAGTATGATAGATCCACAACAATATGAAGAGATGCAGGTTTCTAAAATTATTATTGTGTTTATCAGCATCAGCTTATTACGATTCGACACATTTGGTATAAATAATACATCCGCCATTTTTAATAGGAAGTAATTTTAGTAGATATTTGCAACCAACCAAAGAATATAAGAAACAAGGTTCCTACCACCCCATAGGGAACAGGTCATATACATAATTAGTAAAACTTCTGCAATGAAACTGAGCTCTCGTGATATCTAAGGCTAATTGGAGGATGAGCCTTCACCACAAACAACTAAGCCAGTTTCGCGATGCTCACAAATCTGCATAAATGAAAGATCACTTAGATTTTCGGTGCGAAAACGACAATTTTATCCAACTGAAGTGGTATAGCACATCGAAATAGTTTGGATAACACATGGTGGATCAAGAACAACCAAAGCCTTATCTGCATTACTCGAAAGAGTAGAGGATTCCAGCCAAGAAAAACTTTCACAAATTTAAACAATGGATCAATCATTGTACCTAAATCCGTTCATACGAGAAATTGGATGTGGGAATAAGCTGTATATACTCACACTGTTTTTTCAAGTTCAGCAGACATTACAAACAGATAAATCGACTGAAAAGGTAAAACTTCTACTATTCTCTGCAGAACCAACTTTATGTTTGCTTAGCAAAATTAAATAGCGTTCTATTGAAAGTCAAAATTATTGGGTAGAGAGATATTCGTCTTAAGAATGCAACAAATTACATTGCATTTGAAATTCATTTACAACAGTTACCAATTTGGACAAGTCACTAGGTCATTGTTCAATGTAATGAGAATAAAAACAGTTGCAGAGGCGAAATTTGAGACCTGGAAGAGTGTAGGGTTTTTAGCCAAAAAATGAAACAAGTGTACGTGGCAACAGGAGATGCAAAAGGTGGTGTGCTTATCAGTGCTCTCGACACAAATACTGATTCACCAAGGGGAATAGGTAGGGGAACACACCGAATATTTAGAATAATTGAAAAGTTCAACAGGAAAAAAATAAGAGAAAAGTGAGACCCCATCAGTTAAACAAAATTATGTTTAATATGCGTCTGTTGAAGGGAAAACTTCAACAAATCATGACAGTTCACAAAGACGTAACCAAACGGATAAAGTATCGTGAGTTTCAATAGAATCTCGACTTCACAACTTTATAAATGCACGAATGGTAGGGAGACCCTTGAGCTAATAATTTCAAATTCTTAAGTTAAAGGAGGAAAAAAGGAAAGTTTGCGAGATTTTGAGGCGCGGCGAAAATTGATTCACGGCACCCAGGGAGAATAGTCATTTCACCCGCACACTAAAATGTTTGGGCATTTTAGGTTCTTGAGATTCAGCAAAGAGCTTCCCCAACTTACCTCCACCAATTTGAGAAACCGGTTAACTAGTGGCGCGAAACTATTCCCCGTCTCCGCGGGTGAGGCGAGACAGTCACTGAGAAAGACAAAGATCCGAGAAACAAGGTCCTGAAGTTGCACAGTGTCGCGCACCGGTTGGACGGAGATCACACGTTGGAGGCTAGTGAGGAGACAGGAGAGCACCGCCTCCACTTTGCCTTGGCTGCGGTAGACCTGCTCGCAGAAGTCACTCCTATATGCCGGGTAAAAAAGGATTTATCTATTAAGGCAGGTGCCAATACTGCAATCAGCTAGAGGAACACGAGAGCTTTAGCACAGTGACGTCTACATTGGCTATTGACTTGGTCATGTTTGCAGTCTCAAGTGACCCCGAAGCATGTCAACACAGCTTCTACTAATAATCGAATGGCTCCTCTATTCATGAACAATAAAGATACTTCTGAACAGGTTTACATTAGAACGCCTTCAGAGGTAACTAGAGTGCCACATTGTAAGAAGCGTTGGCTGAACAAATCTAGTAAAAAGACAATCCCGTCTTTCGCTGGCTGAATAATACACCATAAATTTACTGAGAGGAGGCATCATTTTCGGACGACTGAAGCTATATGGACCCAAAACCAAAGGGCCATGGGGTTTTCGTCGATTTTGGCAAATGATGTAACCCTGAGTCCTGCTTACTGAACCGTAAGCACACAAGCTCCGACTTTAAAGAACTGCAAGTGTTCATAAAGGGAATGCTCGCATTGCTTTTACGAAAATACGGGGTTGTTAGTAATGAATGAATGAAAAGCTTTACCATTAGGCGAATACGCCTAAGAAAAGCGATAACCTTGCTTTGTGAAACACTGTATGGCTTTCAGCAAAACATTGCAAATGGACCACCACAATACAGTTCGCTATCAGGACCACCCCTAGATTACATGTCATCTTGTTTTGATAGAAAATTATCATATTTTTTTAGCGCCGAAGGCGGAAAAGTAATTGCGGCAAGCGTAGAGGATAGTAATTAAGACAAAGTAATGTAAGAGGAACGGGTTTGGTTGAGCATTCGAATGCGTAGGCCTTTTAGGTCTACTGGCATGCTTCTCCCACAGTCTACCTTAATAGATTAAAGCCCCTTCTACAACCAAATAGTTAAATTACTCCTTGAATACCTTCAGGAATAACTCAGGAGCTATAGCTGTAACCGCAGTAACATGCCTCTGGAGCTGCATGAACGCAAACGCTGCTACGACGAGTAATCAGACTTTGTCACCTACAGGCCAACGTTTTCTGCCACCTCGAGCAAGTCCCGTGAGGCGTCTAGACGTCCCGAAAACAGAAGCCGGTAGAGAACGTCGGAGAGCTCCGTTAGAGGCAGATTAGTTACCTCACAAAAACTAATACGTTTAGAAAGATATTCCAGCATCTAAAAAAGATGCAGTAAGCCTGAATGCAAAATAGCCCTATTAGTGTTTTATATTGAAGCGAATTGATATCCCCACCTTAAATATCTTCTGGCTTCCAAAAGCGAGAGAGGCATTTTCTGGAAGAAGAATCTGTTCCCCGATAAAACACAGTAGACGTGTTACATCGGCAGAATCAACTGGCAGCAAAGCCTCCCCAGCCTCGTCCAGAGCGCATGTCACAAGAGCATTGAATAGGCGCTGTCTACGCTGACAACTAAACAAGCATGTTTTAATGATAATGGAACCAACTAACCCAAGATCAAGAGAGGGCTGATGCATGGAGAAAAAGGGACTTTCGCGTAGAACCAGTGTGAGCATATTTAGGAGATCAATAGTGCCACCAAAATGCAAAAGGGCGCGAAGACGAGGCATAGCAGAGGTGGTTAAGCTAGTGTGGTGTGAGAAGAGGGATTTTTGTTGATGTTCTGGTGAGGAGATGTGTGAGGAGAGGAGGAGGTTGAATATCTGGAAAGGAAGCGAAACTTCAAGCGAAGATTGATAGGAAGCAACAATAGTAAGGGAATGAGGACACACGAACCTTGTTGGGGACATCTGCGTAAAATTCTGGGTCGAGAGGTATGCCGAAGACTTCCTCGCCGGCAAAACAGGAACGGAGGAAGAGGAGGATGGTATTGACAGCTTCACTGGTGTCGAGATTATCCAAAGACTCGAACGAAGCTGTAAGTAGGCATAACAATTGAATCGCGTGTTATCTTAGGCTTGAGGAAATCACAAGGCCGCCAGAAGGTCCTTCTACTTCCCTATGTGAGGTTTGGCAGTTTTTAATCAGTACTGCGATCTGATGCTACCACGAAATCCACGAGCCTAAGCTTTCAACAAGACAGAATATTCAAAAGAACTTTATTAAAACGTCACATAAGCTTCACAAAAAAAACACCAAGTCGCTTGTAAATAAACTGGGTTCAATGAAAAATTGGACACCGATGGAGAAGAATGCTCCGTCCAATGGTTAAATGTGAGAAAGTCAGCGAAAAAAAAATTGACGCACATGATCTCCAGCTCAGTCATTTCGTTCGTCAGGATGCGCAAGAGTGCATTTTTAAAAAGCCCAAAATAATCCACGAGTAACAAGGTATTTTTAACTGGATGCAAAAGTGAAATGAGAGCAGTAAATACTAAAAACTGAGATACACTTCGTAGCACACTTGTCACACAAAGGATAAGTGAATGGGATGATTGCTCTTCATCTCCAGCTACAATTTATATAGAAATGAAATCAAAATGAATCAAACAAGAATCACAAATCCTCAGCTTTTCGGATGAACTTTGATTTGAACCTTGAGACGGAGCTATAGGTCTAAGCAACTAGCCGTTTTGTGACGAGCAGTATTGTTTGCCTTTTGAGTTAAAAATGAAGCATTGAATAATGCCCTGGTTTTTTTGCAAATCCACTACATGCAAGAATAGTGAAAGTAAGATTCTGCTTTAAGTAAAGCTATTTTGCCTACACATGAAATTGAAATGAAACCAGTAAGAACAGTAAATCTGCTCCATTTCAGAATTGGCGCAACACAGCGTACATTTACAGAGCCGACGAAAGCCAAAAGTAGTCAGGAGATGACGCACTACCTTTTTTCTGGTCGCATAAGCTAACTGAAAATAGTAACTTATACAGAATATTCCTCCAGTTAATAGTATATTTGATATTGGAATTAATAGACCGCTTTAGGTCATTCACATGAACAGAAAAACCGGCCAAGTGACTCACCAGTGGAATGATCAGAAAAAGACGGTGAAGTATCCAGAGAAGGCTTTCGTTCGGCATGTGATTGCGTCTTCTTAATTAGCAGATCCATCAGCCATCGGAAAGCCGCCTCGTGGTCTTTCAGCACGTATGCATAAACGTACATAAAGCCCTGGTAGAGACCATTAGAGAGGCAGAATTTGAGAACCTGCGAAAAATATCAGTAAACAAAGCCTTATTGAAGAATGATTTCCAATATCATTTCGTGGAAATTTCTAATGCTAGACGAATGATTATAGCCAGCTGCAGTGCACTAGAACTTGTTCAATCAAGATGGGGTGTGCAGTAACTTGTAACGAATGGCTGTATGTACACGACTTTTCGCGTAGTTCTAACCACTGCTTTGGTCGCATTACTTTGTGAGGAAGGAGACTCTTAAAGGATTTTCATGCAATCTCTGTTAGTTCGTCACGCATTACCACAGATATTTTGGCAATCTTACTGTAGTAAGATTATCGTCATCAATCATCGAATATTTGAGATTACAACACATCTTCTAAACAACAGCAATAACTATAAGGTGTGTGAGATCTAAACAGACGCTGCATTATCTGGTAGGGTAGTGCGAGAGGTAACGACAGGAGATTTTCTCGAATTTTACTGCAAACCATTTTAAACTTAGAGTGAGCGGCCAAGGAATAGCAACTTGGCTGCACCTTGATATTTTAGGAAAAAAAGCCAAAGTAAATAAAATATCCCGTTAGATGGAATGTTTTATGAAGCAGAGAAGAGCCTATGCATCTCTAAATTTACAAAGGGTGTGTACTATAACACCATGGAGCGAAAATTTAACTGAATTAAAATGAAGCATGGTAAATTTGTATCATTTGAAGGCACCAAAATGATAATGTCTTCTCCTGACTATAATGTAGTCAAATTTCTACCAACTGCCACAAAAGTGACAGCAAGGATTCATCATTATTTGCTAAAAATCATTACGTTGTGCAGCTGGCAGAAAACCTGTTCAGTTTTCAAAACAAAATACCAAACTATGTATGCCACTGACTGAACATTTAAAATCAAGTGACACTAGTAAAAGGCGGCTAAATTCACCGTGTCAATACTGAGACTGGACGGAGAGAAGCGCACAAGACACGACTCAGCAAGTGGACGACCATTTTCCACTCGTGAGAGCAGCTGCTGTAGATGATTCGAAGGCCTCCGTTCTGACAGGCTCTGCGAAGTCAGGCTGACAGTGGCAGGAGAGGCAATGGACGGAACGATGTTCGGCCCACAGACACACCAGGTCAGCAACTCCATGCCAATGTCGGGAGGAAGGTGCCGAAGACAACATTCGTCATCACCATTATCGGATGCCGCGTAGATGGGTCGGACTTGTAGAAGACGAGTGCAAAGGCATCGCAGAAGCAGAGGAAATGTCAGTGCGTCCCGTCGATACACAGGAATCACGACAGTAGTGAGGAACTTCCTAAGTGCAAGAACCAGTTGCATCAGTCTGATTAGAGGCAAAAAGAATGCACCTTTAACATCAAGCTTACATGAGATCTGCCATAACGCAAATCTCAACAAGAGTGGATACGATTGGAGGTGTGGGACGACATTTGGCCTGGGCAAGAGGCATATGAGTTAAAACTTGGAGAAGGGATTCTTGTAAATCAGGAGTCGGGGAGCCCTCTTGTAGCACCTGTCGGCAACTCGTTAGGGCCTCTTCGATGCGTCCAGCTCTAAAGAGGCTGATTGCTCGCTATAATAAAAAAGGGTCATGAATGAAGAATGGGAGAAGAAAGCTAAGCGCACCTCCTTCCACGATTTAAGTACGAGCATTGAAATCCCGTTTTTGCCCAACACCAGCAACTTCCCACCAGCTGAGGTGATTGAATTGGCGCAGGCACGTTCACTAGCACAGGTCTAAAAGGGAATCAGGATACGACTGAAGTTTTCTCCATACTGAATGTGGTGAGAACCAATGCAGAAATATTCATTTAGTCTCAGAGACTTTTCAGCCACCACCACCGATGGGCGTGGTTCTGGTCAGAATATACGAACGTCCGGTTCCCCAGTCATTCTAGAACGCAGCATAATAGAAAGATTTTTGCTTTGGACGTACATTTAGTTACGCACGCCTATCCAGTATCAGCAATTCACTATGAAACTGCTAGTCTCTCAGATCTATACGATGATAGTAAGCATACTTTCAGATTGTAATGCTCTATTACGTTTTGAGGGATGGTTCGAGCGCTAATATTGGCAAAAGCAGTAAGCAAGTCTAACACACGGTTAAGTACCACGCTTGAACTTCAAAGAGGGAAGGTACCCGCTGCGAATGATTGAATATACGGGCATTCGTGATAAAGGGATAAACAAAATTTCATCGACTTGAATAACCATCTAAAATTCATACACGAAACAGTATATAGTGTTTCCTTTGCAATTTAATAATGGGCGTCATTTTAAGACCTGCTAATTATTCGTGTTCTGAGGAGCTGAGAGTAGCCTGACTAAATGGATGCGTAGTGTTAAATATGACGACAAAGTCGCAAAGGGAAAAGAACATCAAACATGGCCCCACAAAGTTGTTTTGAATGGTTTGTTTTCACTAGGCAAATATTCCTACGAATAACAATTGGCATACAAAGCGTGCTTGTCGCAGGGCATCCATCAGCCTCGAGCATTATAAAGCAAATGAAGCCCTAAAAGGCATTTGACTAGGAGAGCAGTGACAAACGGGTCCATCCAAGGCTGCAAGATGGATCATTATAGATCGTGTTGGATTTCTCATTGTGATTGAAAATTATCATCATGCAATCTTCGTCTCTACTCGCAATTCGTTTGTGACAACTGAATATGGCGGAGGCGGGGGGAAACACTGAGAAGAAGGTAGTTTAACAGAATGATATCAGCATTGATAGCTTATTTAATAGCCTGGATTCTTCCTGTCCGAACTACTAGACTCGCATGTAACATAATGCCCTCAGTAATGACTCAGGTGTTAAAACAGCCTTCTACTTCGTACAAAGTCCACAAAGTAACTTGCCAAAGCTTCGCTGACAGTTGCTCCGATGGCGAGAGCCTTGAAAGCGCTCGAATTATAGCTGATCTCAATAGTCGTGAGGTTGAGAGACTCCACTTCCTGTTCGGTTGATACGTCATACAATCGCAATATTTCCTCGGAGTCCAGGATAGCGAGATGATCCAGGGTGAAGAGCTGGAGATTAAAAAAGGACATGAATCTGTTCAGTTGGTTATAAACATACAATTGGAATTAAAGCAAACGTTCTGATTTTTCAGCCAAAACGTGCGGATCGGAAATAACAAAATCCACGAATATCTGACTATGTTTCTTTCCCTTCAGGAGAAAATTTTAGCACATGCACAATCTTTATTAGTGATGGGGAATTAAGCATAAGAACAATATTCATTAAATAATGAAAGAAATCAGTAATGGAGCTCCCCAATAACTATGGACCCACAGCGGTTGTCTTATTCGATTGAGGTGTTCCTTTCAATGATTAATAGCATATTTATGAATATTTAGAGCCAATAGCAGATGCTACATCAAACTTCCACACTGTTGGTAACAATCAAGAGTTGCTAGGATTCCCTGCGATATATTGAGAAACCTTTAAAAGGGGCCAAACCATATGAATTAAGAATGTAAAATTTGTGCACAATAAGAAACCACGGCATGAGTACATGAACAGTCTTTATCGGTGACGAGAAGGCAAAAGAACCGCCCATGAAACCTTTTACCCAGAGACTGAAAAAGCAGTAAAAACTTCCAATAGACTGATGGGGTAACCTTTTTTAAAGAATTATCACTGCAGAAAATGACTAATAATTTTATAATCTACTTATTGGTATAAGTAGAATCTTTAAATTTTACAATGAAATGGCACCGTAGTCTACAAGTCTTTAGCGGTGATGACAGATTGGAGAATATAACAAGATCCGTGAGAGGATCAAAGTTAATTTAGCGATAGTCCATTATGAAGTCCCTTCCACCGAATCACAACCTATTTGTGAAGCTGTAGAGATTGTGGCTGAAGGTAATCAACTTGTTAATTGCATTAAATGCTTTATTATACCTCTAAAGATTCATATTCAATAGCGAATTCGAATTACATAAACCAAGCGAAAATGGTGTGGAAACTATGTCAAAGAGCCGTTTAAGTTCCTACTAGTCCACTTAGGAACGGCTTTAATTAGACCGATAGTACGGTAAAATTCCAAATTCTACATGATATTGGTTAATGGCATCGGAAACTTCCAATTTCGCTTTAGCAAAATAGAACTGTAACGACTAGAATGAAATGGTGTATAAGTACTCCACAGCGAAGAACCGGATTTGTTGAGTTCAGACGACCATTGGCTTTCGTTCAGACTCGAACTTTATCAGTCTCAATAAGTTTAATGGCACATACATGGAGGGCGACAATGCGCCGATCAAGAGAGATTGTCCGAAGAAGTTGGAATTGGTGAAGGAACTGTCGCCCTCTGAGGCCGAAGACGCAAGCGTCTGAGGGGACCTCAGCATGAGGACTGAGTGGACGCGTGGAAATGCGAGCAATGTAGAGCGTAGAGGCGCGAGCGAAGCCCAAAAAAGCGGCACTCTCGTCTGACTTGGACTCCGTCGCATCCGGCATGCACCAACACCATGCCAGTAGGGGTAGGCAGGAGGGCGGACCCTAAATGTACGAGATGAGGGGAGATCGATGAGTTTTGTAAGCAAAGAAGTCAGCCGAGGGGAACCGCACCAATTCTAAGCATGCAAGAGCAAGATAATTCGAGTATGTCTAGCTCGATCTAATGGTTTAGGTTTCCGAAGACTTCTAGGCGAGCCGCTACCAAGAAGTGGTTTCACTGAAACATGGGAGATAGATCTCTATCATTGAAATCACACAACTTCTGTCTTTGATGGAAAATTATAGTGGAAGGGTAATATTATAAAACCGACTAACTTGTAACGACCATGACCTTCCCGTATTTCTGATAATCAGGTTACTTTCTTACACAGACCCCTTATGATATGAATTGATCTGCCTTCAAATGCGCGGCTAGCTGAGACTAATCATATCTGACAGGGTCTTTAACAATGTAGCCAGTCCTGCTAATAGCCTGTGACGTCGATATACAAATTAAACACTTTCACAGCGTGCAAAAATCATTAATGCTTTGATAAGTAGAAGAGTGGATTTTAATAGCAGCCTCGGGCCTATAGCCAAAAAACCCTAACGCTTTCATGATCAGCATTGCTTTTCTTCTAATCTAGTGATGTAAGATGTCCCGTAGATTACTTATCTGCCTATCGACTAATTATTGTCACCGTGCTGACCATCACCGTATTTCGATGAATCCTATTTCTTTGGGTACAAAGCTAGGCCGCGGCGAACCATATCAGCCAGAATAAGTTCTTTAGAGCTGGCTTTATTAGTTATAAAACTAGGTCATTTAAGCATCCTAGAAGCCATTTTTGTGCAAACAGGATGAATATTAAGCACGCCTCTTTAATAATCTCGATATTGCATATTCTATTTCGAGGTTGAAATGAAAGCTGCAAAGACGCCGTTATACTAGTTTAAAAGGTAAGCTTTAGTGCTAGCTCATCAGATCTGTTGACGGATATTAGTGTAAAACTTCCTTAGCGGAATGAAATCGAATACCCGGGAAGCTGAGGTCGGGATGAATGGGAATCTGCTTAAAAGGACAAATGAGTGTTGGGTATAACTTTTGGTCACATACACATCTTCAGAAAAAGAAATTAATGAGACGTAGCCTCAGTAGACAGAGAATACCATCCGTAATAAGTGTCCTTAAGCTTGACAATGTCTCACCTTGAGATGTTGCCAAAAGATGACACGAAATTTGGGCTTTAGTACAATGACAATGACCTTGGTAAAGGAGGCCATAGCAACCATAGCGGAACCAAGAAGGGCACGAAGAACAGGCTGACGTTGATAGTTCTGTAGTAGATCGCTTGCATGAGTAGGACGCAGAGGAGAAATTGCGCAGATCTCTCCGTGGCTGGGGTGAAACAGACACGATGCTATAGACGACCACCAAACAATGCTCACTCTCTGTAACAAAAGATGACTGTCTAATTTGCCTGTTTAATTACGCGGGCTCTTTCGGCTTCGCAATTTCAATCGTCACCTTAATGTCATGGCGTTCAGTTCATAGCCTTTCCGTTAACAATCCACCAACCCATCTTAGCAGCAATCGCGTTATCTATTTTCAAACTTACATTATAACTTTTCAAAGAGAACTCGAGCACCACATTGCAAATCAAGTACTCGTATCGGTTTCTTATTCTTCAAAGAGATCGAAGGAAATAGTAATAGATTCAAAGGGCATAAGTAATGATAAAAGCATATTTACCTCTCAAGCTAAATGCCCCTAGAGGGTTCCTAATGCGAAATGAAATTAGTTTAAATAAGGGTTAGTTCAATCGGGCTTCAAAATTTGTCCAAAAAATCACAAGCTGGAAATATCGTTTCCTTCGGCAGCGAAAAACACTTCATATTTATGCCTTAAAGAGGAAGATGACGATTGGCGTAAGTCCATAGTTTTTCTTCGTGGCCACTTAGTAAGCGCATTAAAAATTATCGCATAGGGCCTCCAAAAGTTGTGGATTTGATAATGGAATTATGCCACTCCTGAGCCTAAACAACGAAAGTTGAATGAAATACCAAGATTTCCCATATGACAAAACAGACCCGAAAATGAAAAAAAAACATCGCATTCAAGAAAAAGTTAGGAGGTCCAAGCAGTTTCGACTTTATGGTTATATGAAAAATTGCACATTTCAAACGCTACCCCTCAAGCTCACACAAAAAATTGTCGGATCATAGAGAACTAATGAGATGACACGTAGTATGAAGCGAAAGAGTTTCTGGATACCACTTTGCTTTCTTTAATCTATAATTTCGGGCATCAGAAAAGATGACAACAATCATTAATAGAAGAAGTGACAACACGTTCACCCTCTGCCTGTTTAAATCTTCGAAGCTTTCAAATTCTGCATAAGGAAAATCCAACGGTTCCTCGAAAATGGAAGACCAATGGACGTTGTTTTTTAAATAATGTGGATCTGATCATGCATATAAGTCCCCCCCCCCCCACTAAAGAGTGAAGCAGTCATCAAATAACTTTACAAATGGATACGAATGAGAGCTAATGTGTTTATCCGATTCCAACTCAAAAAACTTTTCGAAAATCAGTAAAATTAGGTGAATTCGAAGTAAGCAACTCACCTGCCCGAAAAGAAGCAAGCTGATAGAGTGCTACGACCCAGAATGCCCCGCCTAAATCAGATAAGGGACAGGTAAGCGGTTTCGTAAGCCTTTTCAAACAAAACTGATCTAACTACAAAGCACCTAAAGTCCATCTCGTAGGCAGAGCCGCTGCTATCCACCGAAACCGCCACGGTTGGCAGTGAAGTGAAAGCGCAGAGGATTACAGATTGTCCGTTCGCATGAGCATCGTCAATGATGCGAAGAGAAATACCAGCCCATTGATTCTTCGTTTTGGCTTCTCCAACTTCCAGATGAGATTTTTCCTCCCCCCCATCGTCATTTTCGATGTCCTCGCAGATGGTGGTGGTGCTGTCGCCTTTGGTCAATTGCCACATCACAATGCGCCCACTGGCGAAACCGCTGAGTAGACGACTACTCGAGAGATTCTGACTTAATGAGGTGATTGGACCCTGGCCTGAACCCACTTCAGTGGTGCTCGTGTCGATACAGAGTCGCAGTTCCTGACGGCGATCTTTAGAAAGCAACGAGGAGGGGAGGGTGGGGGAACGGATGGCTTGTCAATCCCCAAAATCACGTATGGACTTCCAAGCACCACTACAATTACTTCATTAGCATTTTCATTACATTTAAGTGAATGCCATCATTAATACGAATATCAAGTGACCAACAAAGGTTAAGAGAACTGAGAACACAAAGCAAATAGGATGTACCCGGTTTAAAAATAGACAAACCTGTTACTGAGGCCCAAACAACCTAATGAGGGTAGTCGAATACTTCACAATTATTTTACAAACTTGGGTGAAGGGAAACGAAGTGATTAGAAGAAGCCAAACTGACTGCCAATGTACTAGAGACAGTGCAAAAGTTTATGCTTCTAGCCTTCGATTTATGGGAAACACCCGCTCTCGTCTGTAACTACTGCCATATTTACAGGCAGTAAACATGGCCTCAGGGGACTAGTACTAGTTTTTACGAATAAACTTAAGCTACGCTAAGGGCACATTAAAGTTGTGAAGCATTGGCTATTAAAGTAGTTCAAGACAAGTCAAGTTGAGTGCCACAAAAGAAATGTCAGTGCAAACGGAAGTCCGCTGACAACCATTTTGGCTTTGAAAGACAATGGCCATGTGAGTAATGAAGAAAAAAGTACACTAGACATCATTAGTACAATTGAACGAGCTAAACACTTTATTAAAAATTCACTAACATGATCCACATGAGTAAAGGCGAACAGATTGGGTCGAAACAAAACTGAATTGCAACGTAAACGAATAGCGCCTAACAATGAATCCGAAATATCTATGCTTTAATGTAAAGTTATCGAACTTAGGTATTGTTCCTACGTTTATAAAGATTAATTACCATCGCCGAAAGCAAACATCACTACCTTGAGAGAACAATGGAGTTAAGTGGAAGAGCTATCGTACGGTACTAAACATCTGGATATTTGAGAGAGGGTTGGATTCTCCTGAAGGTTACCGGGGCAGATCAATGCAATACACCATTGGAAAAGATCTGTTAAGAACATCTCTGATCGAAAAAATTCCTTCGAATGCATGAATAAAAATAGTAAATGAATAGCATATAAATATTTTCAAAGCAAAAATACCTCAACAATAGCCCAAACAACCAAATCATTTTGACTTGACAATAGAAGCCTAGCTACTTATTCAGAGACCACCATCGCTGCATAATAATGATGATCCCAACCCTAACCGATAATTTTCTTTAGTGAGACAAACGAACACTCACTAAGGTTAATGAAAAGTGTATCATTCACTTTGTAATAAATTAGTAAGATACCTATGCTTAACAAGGCGAAAAGATGGGGGATAATAAAGAATCCTGATTTATGAGCATCCACACGTAAAATCGCCTACAAAGGTGATTGGTTATCAACGAATGACTGAGAGAGGGGAGGGCATTGGTTGTAGAGAAAAAAAGGCTTAAAAGGTCAAGGCACTAAATAAGTGAGAATACGAGTTAGAAATGAAGGCAAATGATTGAGACCAAGTTATCAAATGATACCGGACAAAAACGCCACCCGGTCATTCAATAAGGAATCATCAATTATTATTAGCAGCTCTCAATGCTACCTACAATCAATTATGTTAAGTCTAAGTAAAAAAAGTAATTTCTGATGATTTATCTAAATAGTTAGGTGCAAGAAAACAACTGACACTCACCAAAAACAAAGATGAAACCATTGTTCGTCCCGACCGCAACAAAATTCTGCAACGACTACAAATGAAAAGAGCAAGTAGAGCCAATTGAAAACAAGAGATCACAGGAGGTAGAGCTGGAATCCATCGTACAATGTGCTTAGGAGAGTGGAAGTGCACACGTAAAAAAAAGAATGGGAATATTAAAAGAGTCTCTACGAATGAAGCGTACAATGCAGCTAGGTGAACCGCAATTCTCTCTCAACTGCGCATTAAGGAGACGAGTGTGCACACCCTTGAGGGAAACAGCGCGGAGATAGATATGCTGTTGTTGTGACGACGACTGGATCAGTGCCTCATCCTCCGAAAAAGGAAGCGCAGCAGACGATTCGGAGAGAAGGGACAAGAAGCTACCGGCGAACGGCGGTGAAGCGAAGCTGTTGGTGGTGCTACCAATGAAGGAGACAACGTCCGTGTCTGCCTCCTCACTACCCGTTGGTAGCTCCTGCAAGTCTGCCTCAATGTCCGAGGCGAGATCGGTCTCGTCCGAGAAAATACTGCTCGTCGAATAACCGGTGCATGACCTGGTGTTATTATTCATTTTTCTGGAAGCTGGCGGCAGAGTTCAGTCGAACGTACTTAGCTGATGAGAAATGATAAAACCACCATAAAAAATCCACATGCGAATCAGTAATGTTTGCACCGAACCTTAAAGCGAGGTGGAAGTATGAAGACAATAACAGACCTAAAAAAGAACATGACAAAGTCGCAGAGCACGGGTTAACAGCTGGCTTAGCAGTACGCTAAGAACTGCTGTATTAAGTCAAGGGCCGGCCCATTACTCAGGTTTAATAATTTTTTTTTAGAAGGGAGCGATTTGATTATACATATGCTAACACAGGCTTAAAAAAGGTGAATGTGAAGGTAAAATTATACAAACAGTCCCTTTGTAACTACCCATAACTCCAACAAAAAAACAATTTCACATGACAACCCTCATGCCCGAAAAACGAGCTGGATAAAAGGTTATGATAGGATAACAAGATGAACTATTATTGCGGTGAATGGATTACGTAAGGTTGCCAAGACCACCGCACTAGTGTTGCATATCAGATGTTAGGTAATCGTTGAGCATTTAAAAGTTGAGAAAGGCGAATGTTACTGTTGCAATAACCGACAACACCAGAAAAAAAAACTTAAAATCACCCGAAAACAAGTCCCTTTTCAACCCATAAACTGTAATCGATGAGAACGATATAACGTTCTGTTTTAGTCATAAGACGAGTATCCAAGATGCAAGCACTTGCTGTAAAGAGCAATCGAAAACTACTTAAATACTTTCCAAAACGAAAGCCCCTAGGACTCATCGTACAAGTAACGAGAATGCGTATCTGAGGGACACGCGCATTCGATTGCCTATTTTACGCCAATTAAATTGGTTTTACCTATAGAGAGGAGTTGAAGCATTTTGTAGATTTTTACGTCACATGAAAAGAATTATTTTATTTTGCTGAGTATTAAACAACTAAATCTTTTGGTCTTAGGGGCGTTTAGATAAACGGTTGCATTTAAACCTTGGCTACCTTACTCAGAATAGACACCAGAGTGCATCACGAAGTAAATGAGCCAGAATTGAGTTACACAGATAAGATATGCATGTTTAGAACAACAAGCAATTCATTAAATAACTCTATTCTTAAAATTCTAAACATTTAAGGTTAGGAATCAAGTAACGTGCTAAACATGTAATGTTATGAAAAGGTTTTTGATGCTTTAAGAATTTTAGACCACAAACATTCGGAGAGCTCTAGAACTCTTTAAAAAGCAAAAAAGGATGCATAACTTAGGCAGAATACAGAAACATACGCAACGTACATTAGGGGGTGGGATAATGGTACGGCCTAGAGGCCAACCCACTCAGTGAGGGTATGATGGCCAAGACACAAAGTGGCCCTCAAACGAAACCGAAGGTTAGGCAAGTGGAGCATTACAAAAGGGGTTTTAACAGGTTTTTTACTCTGTACGAGATCTAGCTACTATTTAATATGTCATTGATAGCGAATAAATTTGCATTATAAGAATGACATGCACAATTTTGGAACTCGCTCTATTTTTTCCAAAAGTTGGATTTACTGCTAGCATACTAATTTTCAGTCTTTGATGATTATATTTAACACCAAATATTAATAACCTGCTCTTCAGTCGGACTGCCTCTTTAGAAAGAACATTGTCCATGGAAAAGAAGCTCGAAAATTAATTATTCGACATACAGGCTGAACTTAATTTTTGTTACTTGGACAGAATTGTTCAAGTGTAAGTAGACTAGATTGTTTTGCTCAAGTTTTATCGTGCTCTGCGTGTGGCGCGTCGTAGAGTCTGTGATGCGGTTCTTCCATCGCTTCCGTTGTCATATGTTACGTGCATAATGTTTATTAGTGGATTCACTTACCTACATGGCTTGATTGGTCGTTCAAGACAGATGCTGTTTTTCTTTTTTAAGAGAATGGATATTGTGACCTTCTTTAGTGTTGCCATTTTTCTCTGGACCTCCTATACTCCGTAAGCTTTCTTACAAAAAACATTTTCACATCTTCTAGGAAGTTGTCTATATCCCTAAACCTCCCACAAGCAGGAATCCATATATTTAATAGGTCCCTTGTTTTTGACAATATTTCCCAAAGCGTGGGCCATTATTTGAAGGGTAATCACTTGTCCTACCTCTATGCTCCGTGGGATGCGGAATCCTTAAGGCATACGGACGACGTGGAACTATTTATGGGTTCATACTTTGGCCATGTAAATCTGTTAATTTACTGAATTCGTTTGTAGCTACCCGTTACTGCTTTTAGCTGTTGGAGAGCACCCTGTGCATCTGCATACTCATGCTATAGCTTCCCCAGACTAGTTTGGTCACATGGTTACGGTGCAAGCAGCCCGGGGTCATTCGAAAGATTTCCAAAAATGTTGCAAAAAGCAAAGCGCATCTACAGTCCTCTCATTCAGGCCAACACTTGCAGAGAATTGAGGGACCTTGTTTCTTCTTACGAGGTATGCTTCCTTTTAGCGTTTGAGTAAGCGTAGCATACTATTTTGAAACAACAAACTTTCTTATTCACTAGTTTCTGATTGTTGGAAGAATAGATGCTTCTCCACGTCCTTCGGTTACATTTCTGCAGTTTCATGAACTTGCTACTCGCGTTATGTCGGGGCGTGACACCATTGTGCTCTCCCGTTTCGCATTTTCAATAAGCAAAGATTTTGCCTTTGTCATTATGTCGATGAAATCTGATGCATGCTCTTTAAATACTACTGTACCCATAAACATTATTTTCCGATCTGGAAAATCGGTAATATTCCTCTTAGCATTTCACATTTCTTAGGCCACACCCATTTTGAACTATTCCTACTTGGAAACATGGCCCGTCAAAGAACTGACCATGAAAATCTACGAAGAGCTGCGGGAGATTATTGCAAATTTTAATGAATCCAACCTTCTTCTTCTTCCTCATCTTTCGACCGCCTTTCCCACCTCAAATAACATAAGCGATCACAGCCCTCTTATTTTTCTCTTTACCGATTCTCACCGCGAACCTGACTCCTCTTACGATCAAGATGTTTATATGGTTCGTTTTGCTTTAATATACTCGAGCTTAGGTGCTTTTAGTTTAAATCACTCCAATTGGAATATACTATTTGCAGAGAGAGGGGTGATGACTCCACGCGATTCAAGGCGTTCGTTCCCAGTGTTTTTGATCAGCAGCATAATCTCTACAGAAAACTGTTATCTGGTCAAAGTGAACATTGCAGGATGACAGTTGTTTGTCCTATTTGGTGGCGAAAGGTTCATACGTTTTCCAGTCGCTCCTACAACGATTCTTGGACGTCTTGTGGTCTTGATAAATCGACTTTGCCGCTTTCTACCAATCAATCATTCATTTCTGTGTCTCAGTTGATATCTTCCAGCCTTCATATGAGTCCTTTACGAGATGGTATGAATGTAAATTCCTACTCTCTTTTCTAGATTTTATTAATCTGGCTAGTCATTTGCTGAACAACAAGCTCAATCCCCATGAAACCCCAACCCCATCTAAAAGTATTGACGGTATGCTAGCCGTCAATAGAATCAATCGACTGTGCTGCGAATTTGCGGTCAGGGAGGCGACTGATCAGATTGGTGTTTTTGATACAGCTAAAGTTCGTGCTCGTGCTTTGGCCCTGATCAGGGAGCAAGTAAGACCTCGGTACAGTCCTGTTTGCTCCCGAGCCAAGCCAGTCAACTACACCCATGTCAGAACGCCAAATATTGAGGCTCTGGGCTGCCGTAGATGGGGCAATGGTTCTCTCACTTTTGCCACTGTTTCAATCCACAATCCACCCCCTTGGGTGGAGGTGTTTTTCGGCAGCAAATCGAACTTACCGAAGATCGCAATTGTGGATTCTAAGGTTTGTCCCTGAGCTCATGGTAACGATTCCATTGCTTCCACTGTTAATCACAGAATCTGTCCCTCTTTTCAAGGCTGAGATAGTGTACATTATGAGGGATAGTCTCTCTTACGAAAACGTAGGTGAGTTACTAGTCCTCATACCAGTTTCATCCCATGGCCTAAATAATAACGTTGGCTTATCCTGTTACATTATAGCCACCTTCATTTCCCATTTCCACAACGGCACTCTTCAGCGACACCTCTTTTCCGATGAAAGAGTAACGAGTAGGCGATGGGTCAATTTTCTGCACCGAGCTCACAGTGCTGCTCAGCTGGAGTCGCTAATTGGTCTGGAGTCCAAGGACGTGGTTGTGCTCTTCTTTGGTCGCCATTGTGGTTACACAACTCACGGGCGGGGCGCCCTTTACGAGTTTCAGTCGGCGGCCAAACACTTTGCACATCACGAGTCTCTTCTTTTCGTAGTGTAAATTTTTGCTAATGACTGTTGGAATCTGTTTTTCCCTGGTGTTTTAGTCATACCGAAGGCGACATTCTTAACCCAGGATTTCACGCGTAATAATCAGACACATAAGTCTCTTTTTTGTACCTGATTCATGAAATTGGGGTGCGCGATTCAGACTGGAACAAGATCAGTTCTTTAGCATCGTCTTTATTTAACTTAAACCCACTTAGGAATATGGATATTGGCATAGTGCATAATAGATCGGTGTGATCACCCCACTACGTAATCTTGATTTGTTACGTTTTAGTATTCATTGCGTATTTCAGCGTTGATGTCGATACTGTGCAACTTCCGTGGCCTTTGACAGTGGAGTACGTTCCTGTCATTATTCTCTTTCCGAGTCATCGGTGAGTACATTCACTCATCCTACTACTAGACAGATTCACCCTCCATTACACAGCATCCCATTCTATTGGCAGTTGGTACTTTTCTGATTTCGTTCTCTTCAAACAGTTGAGCTCCGTTCACCATCCATTAGTCCTGGGTCGTTTCTTCCGTGTAATTGCCAAGTTCGTATTCAATTTTCGGCGATCATTACCAGTTTTACTAAGCTAATAACTGACCTTTTTCTACTAAAATGGAGCGCAACTTAATGCGGTGCTGCTGTAAGCACGGTGGGGTACAATTGGTTTACTCAATCACTCTGCAACTAGCTTTTATTGCAAGTTACTGACACCATATGTCTCAAACATACCATCCAAAAGATTTTTTGATTATGCGATTGATTGGTGACTAAATTCCATCGCCTTCGTTTGTAAAATAATGTACTTTCAGAGCGTTAGCTCTGGCAATACTTATTTAGACCAACTGTAACCTAGTACACAAAAATTCCTCTGAACAGTGAAATGCGTCCTTGTGGGATCGTGGATCATGCGGTCATGACAGGAACTGAGTGGGTTTTCCGCTCGTGCCTACTGAACCCCTTCGTAGTCTATTTCATTCTTAAAATGAAGAATTGTAAGAATTTGATAAGCTATAATAGTCCTTACTTGTGTTTTGTTCTTTTTTTCAGAAAGTCCAATTCCATAGTCTTCCCAAGAGCACTCCTCTCTTCACCCGACCTCTATTCCAACCTTGTAAACTTTTTGAACAAACGTATTAATAGTACTACCAATTCCACCGCCACCGAGGACTCATTCCATTTGGTAGAGCACCTCAACGTCCACCTAACTCGGATTTCCTCGGCTGAGGGGATGCTAGGCGGTCTTCTTCAACGTCTAGTAATTGGGCTGGAGGAGCTTAACGCCGCGATACGCAAACACGCCTTTCAGTACATTCTAGCCACTGAATCAGGTCGGCTGACTCTTCACCGGCTGCTTTTTACCCGGGATCGACTCTCCTTTCAGTGGCGTCGCTTTGTTGCTGCGCGGGATCGATTGGTGAAGGAGCGAAGCATTGCAAGGACAGCGCGAGCCCACCTTCTTGTGGGTCACATTTAGAGGACCACAATGTGATATGCTTCTCCTGAAATCGCGGCTACTTCAATCCTTTCAGTAACGTGAAATAAACACCTTTGTACTATTGGAGAAGCACCTTGATTTCGCCTAGCGCTGTTTGAATACGCATATGGCGGAAGAATGAACAAATAACAGAAGACTAGCCGCATTCACGTTCGATAAAAGAGCGCAGTGAAAGGAGACAAGGAGAGCAACTCCAAAAGTAGAGAATAATAGTCGACGTGCGTGACAAAATAACTATGATGTGCGTGTGCTGACATGAGACATCGTTATTCATGCAGGTGAGGCCAGTATATGAGATAGGGAAGGAGGGTGAGGTTGAAGGCCCGTGTTTCCAACGTATACTCAATGCTCAGTTGACGGCAATAATGATGATCAGAATCACGGCCACGATAGCTGCCACTGTGGCGTGAAGGCTGATTATGAAGTACTTGAAGATGCGACCCTTGAAGACAAAAAGTGGTGATAGGGTGGAAGTTAAGCTTAAAACATTTATGGCTTGGCGAACAGTTGGATGACTCACAGAAGGTTCTGGTTCCACGGGTCGAGGAATGGGAACGCCACCCACGCGAACGGCGTTCTGGTATTGCTCGAGTTCATTCCTATATGTTATCTTCTTATCTGTAATGGAGAAGTGTCTCGATGATATTCCTTCATGACCCGATAAACTAGCCACAAGGTTATATCACCTGACAAGTACCGTGAGAAGTTGGTGAGGAGAGACTACCAATTAATTTCTTATAGGTGTTAGTAGCGCTGCCCAAATTATAAGATGGAATGTCCTCGAAGCGTGATCTTATGAAATGCAAAATGTCATCGCAAATTGGCTTAATCCATTGTCAAGAAGCGAGAATGCAGTAGGTGAAATAGGAGATTAAGTCGTGCAGACATCATTGATTTCGCAAGAGATTCGGCTCGATTCCGCATGCGATTTGGCACTCCAGAGGTCTTTTGTGAGAGTCACTATTCAGACTACAGCTATTGTGATGGGGTAGAGATTCAGTAAGGCATGAGAATGCTTTTCTAAAAAAGTAGCGTGCCGATCTACGTAACAAGTCCGCCACCAACGACCCATGTATGCGACCCCAATTCCCCCTTAGCTTGACATCCTAATTTTTTCAGATGTTTTACTTATTAGTGGCAACTGGTTCCACCAAAGGGGACATCAGGCAAGTTTAAAATAGAGGGTTATTTTTGGTACAAGGCTAATTGCAATTTTTGTTTTTAAATGGCAATTAAATTGGTAAAAAAAGCAGCAATTCATGCCAGTAAAACATCTGGACATCGGAGGGACTCAATGAGGCGGGAAGTCCGTCAGCACAGGAAGTAATATTGAGGTGAAGCGAGGAGTAGGTCAGGTTACGTGTGTGCATGTGTGTATGAAGGCACACAAAAACGCCTACGTGAGTTCGTGTGCATGAAAGGTGAATCATTCTTCCATGTGAGTTGACAGTGCTGCAGAATTACGCCTGGAAACGGCTTGAAAATTCAGACTGATCAAAGGTCCACAAGAGGCAACAGCACTCGTTAATTGTGAGGCATCGTTACCACTTTAGTAACAAACAAAAGGGATGTGACAAAACCAATCGTGTGATTAGCCGTAATGGAGATTAAACAGGTATCTAGATAGCACCTTCAAATAAAAGTTCAGAACTTGTCACCAAGATCCTGTAACTTAAGAATGCTACGCCCACGTGCAATTTGTGATATGCTTGTCCATGAGGGAATTCCGTGAAGAAACCTATTTCCGTTGCAGAGGAATCCGATTCAGTTATGCAATTATAAACATTATATTAATTATAGCCGTGGTGAAATCTCATCCTTTGGCTGTTAGTGAGTTGAAATGGGTGCTTGTAATGTATCAGATTCATGGTAAAAAGAACACCCGAAATTTCGATTAACCCTACGAGACACGCAAGTCTAGGGATGGGATGGAAGGAATACCTTCACTGATGGCTGCAGAGACGAGGATCGTATTACCGTTTCAAACACGCTATAACATGGGTTGCAAAAAAGAGATCAAGAAATATGCTTGCCGCATAAGGCTCACATCGAGCCGGACATTTACGTGAGATAAGTCTTATTCTTTGGCATGAGATTGACTTAAACAACAGTAAGCCATATTTATGACCAAGGAAATAAACTCCTAGCACCGCTTTTAACTTCTTGAAGTACAAATGGAAGTGACGATCGTCACTTATTACAAACATGGTTTCGGGGATGGTGCTTTAGAAACTGGGGTCGTCTTCTATACTCAAACGGATCAGATGAAATGAAGTGTGCATTGTTTGAATTAAAGCCAGTTGCGATAATCAAATGTGGATAACTAGTCTAATTTTGATCTTCCGGCTCTAAGGGGTATATCCAAGTGCCCAATTACGGGATTATTCGTGGGAAGCGAGAGTCACAATGCTGATTTATACACATCGAACTCAAACTCTTACCATCATAACAGCAGATTTTTAGGAGAGCGAGTAGAAAAACACGAACACTTCCAGAATTAAGCAGTGAACTCACGCTTATTACGTCGATAGTGGATGCAGCCATGGATCTCTAGAGTGAGTTCTACACAGAACTGGAAGATGACGAAAAAGATAAGGATCCAAAGAGGATAGTTCAGACTGCGTAACTGCACACCAGCTGCGGGCATTCGCAGACCCAGCATGATGGTCGGGATGGAGAGGACGTGGGCTAATGTGCCAATGATAAAGTGCGTCCAGTTGAAGTAGGGTCGGTTCTTGTGCATCGGGTGTGGGCGGCAGAAGGTGATGATGGGCTGGATAGTAATTATGAAAGCACCTTGCTTATAAACGGAAGTGTTTAACCGATTTAAATGCGCAATAATTATTTACAAGGAAGAGGTGACGAGGAAAAAAGTGCTACTGACCTCCCAGTCCACCTATATGCCTAAATAATAAGGTTAATTTCAGACTTGTGTGCTTTCAAGATAATGAAAATCAAATCAGAAGTACTCACAAGTTTCAATTTTGAGCGCTTCAGATAAATAAATAACACAAATGAGTTACACAGATGTGCTGATGATTAAAAAGTCAAAATGGAATAACAAAGCGTGTTCACAACGACTCACACTGATGACCGCCTATTGCCCCAATGTAGTGAAACGCTTCTACCGAATCAAAGCCTGGTTGGATTTGTGACTTAAGAAATCACCACAGATCTTAAAACGGCCATAGATATGATAGAGGAGGGCAAATCAGAGCCAATAGCAACTCACATTGATAATAGCCAAGCATAGAACAATGAGTCCGAGGATAGGATGAATATAGTCCGGATAGATTTTGAGCGCTGAGTAGCCCTGGCAGAATACGAAGGCAAGAATGACAGCAAGGCATGTGAGGCCCACACATATGCCCATGAGAATGCGGTGGATTTGGAACCACACCCTCTCACCCAGCAGGCCGGCATTGGGCCACATATCCTTGTAATAGCGCGAGATGATTACACCTACAGAGGAGCAGAAGACCCAGGCCAGCACCATCATCGCGCCGTGCGCTTTCACCACTCCAGGAGAATGGTATACCAAGTAGCTGATGGTCAGATCGTAGAGTGGTCTGTAAAGCGAATTCGAATCCACCCATTCCAGTCAGTATTCCAGTTGCGGACTTTAACGTACTATTTCAAGGCTAATCTTTGAGTGGTTCGTTCAAGGACTTATTCTTGTATCCCCGAGTTTGGAATGGGAAAAGTAAAGAAACTTTGAAATCAATATAAACCATTCTTGTCAATTAGCCTTGAGGGACACGTAGTGATTGGTAGCATTGGACTTAAACAAATATTCAATAAACGGAATAGTTCTGGCCTAGGTAGGGGGCGGAATAGACCACTGTCGAGATGATTAGATAGTCGACTAGCTAGGTTCTGTAGGGATCTCAGAAGAATGTCGATTCTATCCATTTCATCGCGCTAAGTCGTCACAATCCGAGCCCCAATTAATGACGACAACACGCATTCTATATGCATGAAATGCAGAAGTTTGAACTGGGGGGATCAAAACAAACGCTGCTAATACCACGATCTAGTTTGAGACTGAAGATAAAATGGAAACGCATGCAGTCTTCTAATGATAAAAGAATTGGACGACTTGTAATTCTAAACTGATTGATGCATGAGAAAGTATTGCAGAACTTAAATTAGTTTTTGCTAAAAAAATTAAAGATTACAAAAATGGCAAATGAAGGCTATAAATCATGTTAGGATGATGCAAATCAAGTTCTACGCTTCTTTGGGTCATTCCAAAGTGCAAAAAACCAATGAAGAGCAGCAGAAATAAGGCAAAAAATTAATGAACAGGTTGTGATAAGGTTTTCCAAACAATGACTTTTTTTGATTATCCGCAATAGAGAAAAACGCAGTCAAGCATCCGATGCCATACGGAAGAGCATTCGCAAGAGACCTTTCAAGCAAAAGGAGACGTAGTGGCATTTACTAACCAAAAAAAATGAGCGTATCCTAAAACACTCATGCTATTTACGGTCAGAAAAAAAACTAGGATCCTTCATAACTGAGCAAAGAATTTAATTTTGGAATAATGATTAGTCGGTAACTGTGAGGCGACGTCAAACATAAATACAGAAGCAGAAAAAGACAACACTGTCGGACGTACCAAGGAGTTGGTACACTCACAAATCTCTGGCTCTCAAGAAATATAGCAGTCTGTAGACAATTTTTAAGCTGCTCCTTTTCAAGTGGAGCAAAAAACGGATGTGCCTCACCAACCCAACAGAGAACACTAACCAATACGCAAAGTACAGAACTGGGGATGAAATTTAAAACCTCAAAAAAGAACAGAAAAAGTTCATTAAAAGAGAGGAGGGCTAGGTATACATAACAGAATAACAAATTCTCACACAATGAAATTGTTGGTTTCTGTAAGATCGTGTAATGACGTAAGAATGAGGCCCAGGCAACGACATTAGCACAAACTGGTGGAATAACATTTCGGTAAAGAGGCTTCACCAGAAAACATTCCGGCAAATGCCACGCAAATTCAACGGTCATGTAACGACAGTGAGAAAAAATCACCTGGCCTTCCCTAGAACATTGTGAACTCGAAGTGAGGGGTAGGTAGGCTACTGCGCAGTCGCAGTCAGGTGACAGACATGCTAGGAGTTCAACTATGCATTAGAAGAAGTAAGAAGTTTGTTAAGACCTTCCTGCGACACTGAAGCTTTTGGGATGTTATAGGCGCCAAGGAAACAATACAGGGTGATTTCGTTAGGCACCTTAAAGGCAATGTAAGGGGAAGGAAGGTATGCAGTTAATTTAGAATCTTTTCTTATTGTTGTTACCTCAGAGGAAGGGGGAGGTAAAGGCCCCTAAACTTCGTTCAGGCAGCTTATCTAATGAAGCAACCACCTGAATTAGATTCGAACTAGACTTTATAGAGCTCAACGCCAGAGGACCATGATCAAATGCGTCAAATTCGTCACAGACTCGGGTTACTTGACGAAAATGAGCTTTTAAAATTTATTTTAGCAAGTTAAATTGACCTATTACTTATTGCAGGAGTTGAAGAGTCCAGACCAAATAAAGTTCGCTGACCAGAAGACGAAAAAAGGTGCGTGAGTTTGTGTGGGAGACCGAATAATCAGTATTTCCTGCGCTATTGTGGTTGATTTCACTTAAAAAGCATCAATTTGTGTGTAGAAAAAAAACTTGTTCGAGTACTGAAAACAATCTTCACCACACTGCTGGGATAGTAAATTGCAAGGATGATGATATTGGGGAAAAAGACACTTTACTACAGCGATTTCGATTTAAATGTATCCGTGTCGGTAAACTCGGAATCGTTTGAAATTCACCCGCTTATGTTAATTAGATGCACATGAATAGATGTGAGCCGTCCCACCACAATCGACACCACGTAGAACGTCTTGGAAGGTACTCATTAAATGGAGCACAACTTTATCTTACGAACCAAAAAATTCAAAGTTATATGAGCTATGCCATCGGGAGGATAAACCCCAAGGCTATGAGTTGTGTAAGATAGAATGCGATAATTGTGTCGAAGTTTACCACGGTTTCAAGTGTACCAGTATGCTGAAATCTCAGCAAATCATACATTTGCTAACACAATGAGGCATAAACATTTCTGTTAACATAGGCTCGCTTGCAAGTTCCTTGTTGGCTTTTGCGGTAGACAAATGTATATAAGTATAAACTACAAACTTGGTTCAACAATGACGCTGTTACCAAAAAATTGAGTACCAAAAAGACAGCAAAACTATCTAATACCACAGCTGAGTCAAACACAGCTCTCAGCTTCATGCTGCTTAAATTTTGAAGCTGATGTTTAAAAAGACTTGACACTAAGGCTACGCCGAACATCAGATGAGAATTGGCCGTGTCAAAATCACTATACATTTAAATCGACTTACAAAACCAGTTTTGGCAATAATGGCAATATGAAGAGCTGACTGTCTTCTAATAATAGTATCAAAATATGGACAAAGGGGGTTGAACAGAATCCAGCACATTGACCAGACTTAATACAAGTAAACAGGAGGTTTGCGTAAAAGTATGAACATCCCCAACTTTCAAAAGAGCAACATGAAAGTGGTGAAGAAGGAAATTAAATATATTAAATTTTGCAAATAAAACCTATTGATGAATAAAAACCTGTTTCAGTAGTTCCTTAGACCAATTAAATCATGCTAATACCTTTCAGCCATTAGCTGAAAGAGTAGCTGGGCTAGTGATGCACTTACGAAGTTATGATAGCACTGGTATTGGATGTGGCCTCACCACCGGGATAGAGCTGCCCGAAGCTCGTTCTCAGCGGGTCAGACCCACGTTGAATGATGAGATAGTAGGCATTCGGTGGTGCCAGGTCCTTCAGCTGGTTTGCCATTCGTACAGGGGTCACACGACGCCTGAAGCGACATTGCAGGTAGTGCTGTGCATCCACGTAGGAGCTTCCGAGATCGTCTCCCGTAGTGATGAGTAATTTCTGTCAGAAGGAAAGGTGTAGCAGAGCAAAGTTTGTTCAGTGCTCTTCAATCTTCACAGGCTTCAGTCACCGCCTTGACGGCACGGCATCCCATTCATGTTAGTTCTGTACTAACAGCCCACCAGCTCCTCTGTACATTAAGAGTCGATATATTCGACATAGTTAAGGCTCCATAACCTTGTAACGTCTTCAGAGAGGGCTCAGATGCTATAAAACGGTAGTCACAATGACAGAGTTCCATCAAATATCGTAGTTCTGAATCCACCCACTAATAAATAATGAGAGGAGAAGAAAACGGTCAAGCTGGCCGCTTAGTCGAAATGGTCCATACTCCTATTATTTACCCCATTTATAAGAGACACCCACATTTCTTGTACAGTCAATTACTAAGCACAGTCAAGAGGCATTGCCTTAATTAAAAGTACTAACCGCATGAAATAGCCAGAAACATTCGTATATTCAAAGCAAACAGAAGCATACCTCGTCATCAGAAGGATTATAGAGGTGGTTGGATTCACTGGCCTCAGGTCTATACCCTGCCCGAACGACAATTTTGAAGTCAACAGTGTCATAGTAGCAACCAACAAAGCCATCACCGCCCTAAGGAAAAGGGATGCAAATTTAGCTAGTGCTCAGACCAAAAATGAGTCGGTCTTGAAATTAAGTAACGCAGCAGAGTTAAATATAAGCCCAAAGTAAAGAACAATATAGATGAAAGAATAAATCAAAATATGAATGTCTGTGGTTAGTAGCTTGATCTATGCTAAGATGTGCGTTTCAGAAATGAAATGGAAAACTCCTTGATTTTTCAAGGACAAGAACTTGCTTTCAGACAAACATACAAACCAGTCGACGCATTCATCTCTCAAAGATCGTTGGTGTGAACGAAATACTTAGCAAAATAAGAATTTAATGGGCCTAACCTGTAGTTCAAGTAGCTTCTTAAAACATATCACCTCATAAGTCATGCCATTTGCATACCAACATACAGTTGTTAAGACCCAGTGAATTTCTACAAACTACATACGCACTAACAGTCATACATGAGATGTTAAGAGATGAAAAAGCCATCGAAAATGTGTCTCAAAATTTCACATTTTTTTGGATAAACATGCTTCCAAAAGAAGTGAGGGTCTAATGAACGAACATATAGACTAAGACATTTGAAAACAACCAACCTTTTCCGTCATGGTACTTATGAAGCGTTATTTGCAACTGAAGAATTTGTAAACTAGGTAAAGGATGGCTTGCCATGGCATCAGGACTAAAATAGATAAGTGCTTGGTGCTATAGCACAGCTCTATGCAAGCCAGGGAAGGGGAAGAGATTCTAGTTTCCATTTGTAGTGGCATTAACGCTTGCAGTTTCGCACGGAAATTACCACAGCTGGAAAATAAACCTAATAATTATTGTAGGGAGCGCCAAACTCTGCTGACTAAGCGTATCATGCTTATTCCTCACTCGCCTCCCACAGCAAATATTACGCAAGCACATGTACATATTCGCGTGGGCGCTAACCGCCCACCTTGAGGTAATCAATAATAAGCCTGTTTGTGCCTCTTCCGGACACAGTTGCTAGACTATTTGTGAAAGGAAGGAGAGGAACGACCGCTAATTGCAGCCTCCTGATTGGCTATGATAGGGAGAATGCACGCACGTGCGAATACACACGCCCGCTCCCATGCACTGTGCCTATCGATCCATGTGCGGTGCACAGTGCGTGCCAGGTCGGGATTTTGGGATCACGGATGTGGGATGTTGTGGACTTCCCCTTAAATGTCAGCTGCAACCGCCATGTGGTCACACTCCTGGCAAAGCTTAGTAGCTAGAAAAATTTACTTATTCATGCATGGCTGTCAGATAGGATCATTCCTTGTAAAGGTTCAATGCTCACAAAATGTGGTGCCATACTATACCCTATAATGGTACAACAGTTTCAGTGAATGATGTTAACTAAACTACTGACGTCAGCATGAACAGGAAAAATTATGACATTCCTAATGAGGTAAAAGAATGCTTGCAAATTTAGAGCATACGGTACAATCAAATAAACGCCATCGAGCGTTGGTTAGCATCTGTGCTCTTGCGATCCACGAATTCCACCTAAGCACAAATTGGGTTCTAAAATGGGCATGCACGGACACATAAGAGCATAACCAAGAATCGAAAAAGGGAAACGAGATCAAGATAGATAAGACGGGTAAATAATGCACGCGGAGTAAAATATTGAATTTAAATAATTTTAAAGGAATTAAACTACGAACATTCAAAGCAAAAAGTAAAAAAGCGCTGAGGTATCATTACCAAAATGGATACGAAATGAGGAAGTGTTTCGACTATAGTTCAGAGAAATCAAAAATTCCAACTTTTTTGTCAAGAACACAATTCTACACACAACTCAGATGGTAAGTCGAAGAGAATGTTGCAGTCACAAATAACTGCCTCAAAGTGATTCAAGTTAATTCAAAACACACTTTTTTTTACAAAATATTGCATGAGATAATTCAATAATGCCAAAATAGAGGTTCGCCGCAAATAAAAAATTGCCACTAAGGGTACTGGAATCTTGTCGGTAGACTCTAATAACAACAACTTATATAAAATACAAATAGCCACAAAGTCACCAAAAAATCAGCAAGAACTAGAACAGTGCTGAAGAAAAGTCATCACGCAGTACTCACAAAAGAATGGAATGTACAATTAACTAGAAATCATATTTTAAAGTGATTGTCTAAAAAAGTTGGAACCTGAGGGTCAGATTTGAAAATGTACCAAATCAGATATGATCAATGGATGCCTGTTCATAGGTTAGGAATTCTGCCTCCATTGAGCTATCATACACAAGGAAAAAGCCAAGCACTATCTCAGAAAATCTGAAAGAAAGCAGACAAACCACAGTTTTATTAACAAACAAACCTAATAAATTGATGTGAAAATAAACGAGGATGGACCAATTCCTAGTTAAAACAGACAGTTAGTAAAAGTAGGAGATAAAAGGCATTTATCTAAGGACAACTTGCAAAGTAGGGATCTCTTGAGAAGACGAGAGAAATAAATCCACTGCTTGACTTTATGTCACCAAAAAGTTCAAACTCAATGTATTGAACTTCATCCTGTTCGACCAGTCGCCAGGTAGCTCCATATTCACACAGATTATCGGCGCAGATAGGAGGGCGCAAACATCCCTTAGTAACAGTGCATGTGGACAAATCAACATCATTAAAGCTGAGGACAGAAGCTACGAGAAAAAGCAAAACTCCGACTACAATCATTCTCATAAATTATTCTCAGAGGAAGAGCGCACCACAATGCCAACGCCTTTCGAACTGGCGGTGCAAAATTTCACCCAACCGACCCCAGATCTACGCTAGGCTCGTGATATCTGTAAATTAAAACAAATTTCTAGGCCATTCTTTATCGAAAACAAAGGCTTTGTCTGTTGGCTAAAACTATTAAAATCACTTGCAACCACTAGTTGAGTTATAAAGCTGTGATGTGTGGCTGGCAAAATCTTGTGAAAAGAATAAACTTTAGGCAGCCTAGCTATTTTAAATTGGACATTTTTATTTTTTGATATAGATTTTTATAGGCCACCCCTTCATTTACTTTTTTACAAAAGACGACGTCTTGATTTGGCAAATAAGGTGCACACTTTTAAAGTGATGATTTTTCTAATACCGAATCATGAACTTCATATCAATTTTTTGAAGCTATTACCCTTCATACTAGTAAAGAGACCAATTTGTTGTTAATATTTGGGGGGGGTGCGAAGACTTAAGCTTAGTTTTGCCCTTTTGGGGTGGATTTCAGTATAATTCTCAATTGCTAGTAGTTGAGTCCACAAAACCTGATCCACACATTATATGTCGAATGTAGACAATTAAAGCCAATTAGAAATTGCCATTTACACTCCCAAAACAAAAAAGTCGTGAATTGCTAACACAGCTCTTCCAAACAAGCTTCAAGTTCTATCAAATTCCACCTGAGTAAATGATAAACTGGCAGAGAACAGCGCCCTCACCTCTTGATTGAACTTGTATACTATCCATTGTTATGCATTTATACCCTACAAAACAGTATAGCTTGACCGCCCGAATAGACGTAGCGACGGGCACGAATGTCGACATCCTGCCACGAATACGTAGCACCTCGTACACTACGGCCAATCATCAACACGAAATTAACTACCTTTACCCCTCAGAACAGAATGCTGGATTCCTGATTCCGATTTTCACACGATTTCTCCACAAACACGCGGGAAAATTAAGAACGTATCGGTGGATCTCACCCACTCCGTGCACGAACAGAACAACCCCCTGTGGTACTTTCTACTAAACCTCTTTCCTACCTTTGTAAGTACACCATGTATCCTATCGGAACCCCCTAATGCAGAAGAAAGCTGCATCAAACACAAGAAAACAAGTACTCTGATACAAGTCAAAAGGTTTAAGGGAAAAACAAGGTTAGATGGAAACATAAAATGGGGGACAAGTACATGCGTACACTTAAATTCATTTACACTTCCTGTCCTTCGGCAGGGGAGCCACAAGCACCGCCAGCTGGAGGCACAGGAACTCGCATTGTAGAGGCAGTGGTGGTGGCGCTTTTAGTAAGACAAAAATTTCGTTGCATTGAAGGCTTCGTCTTGAAACACATGCGTGGTATGAGGTGGCTGGCGGAGGTAGAGGAAACGGACTCGTCCCCTTTGTAGGATAGCAGAGGCAGGTGATGGCTGTTGAAATGAGCCAACCCCAATTCTGTGCCATCGAGTGCCACCATGCGAAGGGAAAAGGGGGTTTCTGTCATTGATATACGCAGCTTCGCCAAACTGTCTATCTGGCGATCCAGTCTGTCAACCGAGGTGTTCAACCGTGAGAGCTGTTGTCGTAGGGACTAATAAAAAAGCAGAGATACTAAATTCCATAAAAGAAATCAATTCATTGGAACAACCATAACAGTAACTTCTCTACTGGACGTAAACCTAGCGAAATGTGAAACAGGAGCGGTGCCAAACACGTTTGATTTACGCGAGGATTTCAAGCGAAATCATGCCCCAGAGTTTATAGTAGCAATGAGCGCATTTCAAGGTAAAGTCGCATTCAGCTTTCGAGGCTTTCCTCCAACGCGTACATGACTTCGTCTTAGCTTTCACGTGACACCTAAAAAACGGCTTCGGTATGAAAAAAAGACGGAATAACCTACCTATTTTGGTACACAGTGAACACTAACTTCCCGAAATTGCAAATATGGAAATAGTTTTACTCGTCAACCTTTTACGATACCATGATGACAAATTATGCGCCATTTAGGCGTTCAGAATCAAGCAGGCATTTGGCGAACTGAATGTTTGGAACCACCCACATCTAAGATCGTCACTAAGAGGCGTACGGTCTGTCATCTTTATACCACTCAAGAATCTTACCACTTATAACTGAGCGTCTCATTACTGTACCGTACTCGAAGCCTGTACAAGCGGATATCCGCTATTTCTTTACGCCTTCGTTCACACGAGACCACAATACCATAAGCTGTTAAATGCCTGCTACCATGATTGACGGCGTCTGCACTGGCTCACGACAGGTGAGCTGGATGTCAGTGTGCAATTAGACACACTTGCAACTCACTATTGCGTGCAGTGCCATAACAACAACATAAGTTTTAGAATATTTGGAATCAGAAGCCCGATTCAACTTAAACAAAAAAGGATCACAGGGTTACAACTTAACTATCTGAAACCCATTCCTTTACTAAAATTTCGTCTTAGTATGGCCACCCATAGTAAAGTTATCAAATCTAAAATACGCTTTTAAGATCTAACGGCGAACTGAAAAAGAGAACGACAGTTATTAGACATGTTTAATCACGAATATTATGAGCATCTTTGAGTCCTAGGCCTCACAAAAGTACAGGAGTCAGGAGAGACGTTTCAACTAAGGGCAAGGCACACGTATGAGAGTTTGGTTTCAATAAACAAGTAATTTAGGTAATATTTAGTACGCTAGAGCATGCTACTACGTCAAAATTGACATTAACATATTCCAAAATCGGATATAATAAAAAACGAAAATATTCCAAAAATTTTGCGTCTAACATAACTATGCACGGATGATCACAACATAGTCTTGAGTCATGTAAGTATCCCTGCCTTGGCTCCTTTAAAAAATATGTTCATAGATGTGCCAACCTGGAGCCATTTCCTAAAAGACATTATTTTTCCCTCAACGGTAACTGCACTAAGATGGGATCATCAAGGCGCTCCCACTGCTGCTAGGGTTACTTAGACCTAGTTTAAGATTCTGAGAGGCCCGCTGATACACAAACACAGTGAATAACACCAAATCATCAACCTTGAAACGATCCTCTTCTTAAGGGAGCGCATACACAAAGTAGCGAGGTACAAAGATATTGGCAGCTAAGAGATCATAAAATGAAGAACAAAGGGATAAATGTGGATCGAGTCTTAACACATTTTGAATCAACAGGGGAATATAAATGTTATTATATATTTTAACTAAAAAGAACAAGGCCTAGACAGGACAATAATTGAAACAATAAACAGTGGATGGATCTGACTTAATGATTTACGACTAGTGCATAAAAACTGAATTGATTTTGGTCATCAGTTAAGGCAGTAGAAATTGCGCCAAAATAATCGCGTTTTGGGGGTAATTCAAATCGCAGCAGGGAACCTAATGTGCTGAAAAGGCACCCACATCAGAATTAAATGGTAACAGTGATAGCAGAGTTAGAGGAGACAGGAAACGGGAATCGACTACTTCAAAACTGAATCACCTTAAACTAGGAATTAGCAAGGAAGTAAGGAACGAAAGCACCCGAAACCCGATGAAAGCGGGTACACGCACCCTTATGGCTGACGACTCCTTTTTGGCTGCTGCCGCTAACTCAGCAACTTCTGTCTGCTTCTTCTTGGCGCATCGACGTGCGTATTTGCGATTTTGCAGGCGACGGCGCCGGGTACGAAGCTCGCGATGCTGCTCTTGGGAAATGGCGTGTTGTTCAAGGAGGCTTCTTAATTGCATGGTCGTCATTTGAACCAACTCTTCATCTGTAGGGTATTCTTGTGCCATGCTACAAACAATGAGCGGACAAATAATACATTGAAACGTTAGGCACAACTACTACACCGCAAAAACTTGTGGTTCCCACGTTGGTTTCTCTGCTATCAAAGGATACATCATCAAATGGCTACGAGGTGGTCACGGACGTAGCAAAACACCGTGATCTGCACACTAAAATACAGTACAGAATAAACACATGGGTGACTCTATCATTTGAGCAAAAACTACAATAAGCCCTATGGGCTTTTCTAAACGATTCAGAACGCTCACGTCATAGTGAATTTCCCATTATATCTGAGAATGTGAACTATTTTGACATGCAACTTAGTTAACGGATGATTGGAACGAATTCAATGGGCGAAATTTAAAATGTGTGCTAACATTTTAACCTAAGTGCATATAGCAAAGCGAATTGAGATCCATAATCGAAATAGCGGTAAAATGACGGACCTCCCACCTTTCGAGAAAACACAAAGCGACCTTGAACAACTAGGCAACTTTACCAACTTGCATAAGTAGGTATACAATTGGGTTATCGTTTGTGGTTCTGATTGGGCGCAAATGTGGTTTGAAAAGGAAATGGAATTCCTAAATCCCTTCCTTGATATTCTTAAAGAAAACCTACCTGTTTTACGGAACAATTAATAAAAAAGTGTTTTTTACCAAAAACTTGTTTTGCTTGCATATAATAAAAAATCATATTTCAAATATTCAGAACATAGGAATTAACAGGAGATCCGAATGATAAAGCGGGACCAGCAAATTTTTGTGTCAAATAAAATGACCAGATTTGGTCTAAAATAGGCCACATGTTTTACTTTTTGTGTGGCGCACCACTTCTTCCCAAAAAGTGGCATTCAGTGCCAATCTTACAGAGGAACCGGTAGTCGGAGGCCTAAAGCCTAATTAGTATTATGTACTATTAATAGCATTTTGTGGAACATGCTTAAAGCAGTCTCCAAAAGCATAATTAGGCGAATAATGATTTACATTTGCAAAATTTCTTCTTTCGTGCATACTTTGTACAAATATATCAGGTTTGAAAAAAGGAGAGTTTCTACATACAATCGCAAATTGAATTGTTGTTTTCAATGCTTTAGTTATTGAGTTTGTTAATACGATTGCTGATCGAAAACTAGCAAATGTATTTATCCTAAGTTAGAAACCGATCCCCATCCATTTGACTACCAGTCTCCGATTCGCCTTTATGCATCCAGTTATTGTAAAGCCCCCCCAGAGGTATTTGGAAACGAAAGAAGACATGCATTGCCAACCTACAGAATGGTTGAGGGACTATCAACTTGGCCCAGAGGCAATGCCCATGGACGGAAGTACAATGGCTGCGCCCTTCAGTCCCCGTGAAACCAAAACGAGGAGGTAAACAGACAATCAAAGTATTAAAGTAAATTGACAAGGAGCATGTCACATGGGACGTTGGAAATGGACGGGTCGAAACCTTATGGGCAGGAAACTGTTTTACCTTTTAGATCGAAAGTCAGTTAAAACCACCAATTGACTAATTTGCTTGACCATTTATTGAATCTTGTTTTATAAAGATTCAAGGCCGGAGTCACGAACGAATCCTCTGTCTCATTTTACTTGCATTAAAGCATGCTTAAAGTGGAACCACTGACGAGATAGTCGATGGATTTAAAAGTTAGGAATTTAAAATGAACTTAACAACGCAATATTTATAACCCCCCAATTTACGTTCATGCCTTTGTTGAGGATATCTGCAATGCCAATACTTATTCCCATTTTGATGCTCTATAAGTTCCTGTTCGTAATTAGAATCCTTGAGCAATCCAGCAGTGAACTTTCTTTGAGTTTGCCCCCTGATCCCTGTAAAATAAGGCCAACCTTCATAAGCACTAATCATCACAGTAAAGTCTCTTGTCTCTTGTTTACTTTAGTGTCTCGGTAGCAGACTTGAGCTACCCTTGGGTTTTGGCTATTCATAAACAACCATTAATGACAAACTGCTTTCTTGTTAAATAGAGTAAACTGTTACCCTTATCAGAGAGCAATTTAGAATATATTGGCTTTTGGTTAAAACATTTAAACCTCTGGTATTCTACAAACCACCAGAACGGGCCAGTACAATACGATGGTTGAGTCTGTTCACTTACTTTTCTTCTCCCCATTCAAACAACTCAGCTTTTTCTACTAACCGACTTTCCTTAGTCTCAATTCTAGGTACGTGAAGCTTTAAGATAAGGGGGAATACAATATTTGGATAAGAACTGAAGAGATTCAAAAGAAGTTGCTGAAACCATAATTTTGTGTAAACCATTTTGGGTGGATTTGTCGAGGACTTCGGTTTCAAGCGATTATACTATACAATAGTGAAATATTTAAAATGAAATAAGTTAAGCCAACCCATCTGACGTTTTGACTCTAAGAGCACAGTCAATGTGGTTCCAGTTAAATCTCTATTCAGTCACAAAGGCCAACAACTGATGTGATTGGGAACAGGGAAAGCGTACAGGTGGAGTTGCCACCACAATTTTGATGCATTTAGGTAGATAAAATTAGCTGAGATTTACATCCGATGCAGCCACATGTGTACCGATATTCAGCAGTCATGCCATTCCTCAACCGGACTTGAGTGGAAAGGCCGTTTCAAAGACTATGGAACAATTTATATTTTGTAGCCCAATTCTTAGATTAATCACCTTCACATGGCAAACAGTTCGACGAAAGGAGTATATTATGGTATCATTGTGTTTCCTTGGAGAGAAGAATAATTTTAGTAATGATAAGCGGGAATTGTGAATAGTTATTCACGCTTTAGAATGTATAGTTTAATAAAGAACTTCAGAAGTTGATGCTAAGTTAACGCCTGCAATTATGTAATATTTTGCTCGTTAAACACTTCACTTCAAGTAAGTGGGCAATGCAGGCCACAGGCACTGTACTTCCCCCACGCGGTATGTCCTCCAGACCATGCTAGAAGCCTCCAGGTCTTCTCTACATCAGAAATACATATTCTGCCAAAGTATTATATCGTCTCTCCTCTTCAGAAAGTCTCGGGAAGCTGTACTGGTGGTAGAGGAGAGTAAACCCAATACGTAGAGACAATTACCCTGATTTTTATTACTGAGTGTCACAGCCTTAGCGTGACGAAAGAAACGTATATGCTACTTATGGGAGGATCTGTGACAACCCCAAACAGAAGAGTTGGAAATGCCATCAACCCAAGGCCTCTAACCCATTCATGCTTTTTGCAGGAATGCTATTAAAAACTAAAGCGATCGACGCACTGTTGCTGCGATAGTCATGCGTGGTGGTCGGCACATTTTCCAGTCTTCAATTACAGTTCTCAAACAGGCCGCAACTGCAGATCCAGTGGAATTGGCAAGAGGGTCAGTGACGTTGGAGTCAGATGTAATCATACTTTCACGCAAATTCTTGGGTGTTATTCTCACAGCACCGACCACGCTGTGATGGCTGACGCAGAGAGTTGGCCAGGGGGGTGTCATGGACGACGCTCAAAAGAGAGGTATGCAATGCCGTGTTATTTGTTTAACTCTTCCTTTTGGTTACTCAGGCACTGAAGAGCACGGCTATTGTACTTCGGCCTGGGCAGCATGGCACTCAAGCAAGCTTATACCTCCCCAGTTCATGTTCTGTCATCGTAGTAAGACTTCCTTCGTCTTCGGGAATGATTCTGTGCACTACATACATATTAGATAGCAAATATTTGACTTTCCGCATAATGTTCGATGTAGACCTTTCGCTAGGAAATTTTTTCGCCATTGTATATTTATACCGTTGAACTGCATTGACAATATGAGAAATAAACAAAAAAATCAGCATTAATTTTATCAAAAGATTGTCACAACGTTCTTTTTGCGTGGAAATAAGCACGACTGCCATATTTTCCTACTTAGCAATCAAATATCACTCGTAAAATATGTCACAGTTCTATTGTTGGAGGAATTCCTAAATTAATTTAACTCTGAGAATCTTAAAGTATGTCATGATCCGAACGCTAGGTAGTGTGTAAATATTTAAATCCGTTTATTATTACAGTTTGCCTGACCCTAAATGATTCATACCGAGATCTCAACATGGCTAACTGGTGTGTCTGAAATGCATAAAATTTAGTTATTATGACGCCATTAATGGCGACATCGTAAGGGCTGGGCTCAAAGTTGAGCACCACTAGATGTTCCTATTTCTCCAAAATAAAATGAAAGTGTGAAATGGATGCCAATGCGGATCCCATAATTTCTGACTTTGGGGTAAGTTCAGTACTTGGTCTGTTTAATGGCTCATCTGTCGGCTACTCCTGACATTTTTTTCGTTTCAAGAAAAGATTATATGAAACCTTAAGGAAGAGTAACCTCCAGTTTCTTAAAAAGGGTTTCTCTAAATCCCCAGGCCAATGAGTCGAATAAGAAGATCAACAGTGCTTGTAGTGGCTTCATTCCGAATCGAGAAAGGAGTCCAGACCACAAAATGACCTCATGCTAATATAGTCCCGTCCAACTAAATAATCAGATAATGCCTTGGTTTCAGAGTTGAAAAAAATACTCAGAGACGTATGGGATAGCTGAAGCGAAAGATAATATATTCAACCGAGCTGGAGAGGCAGGGATTAAAATATCTTTCGAAACGAAGTAATCTGTGAATTTAAATACTTTCCAAGCCAAAAATTGACATATTAGGAATAAATGGCTCTAAAGAAGAATTTAGACGAGAAGCGGAAGTAGCTGAGCAGTTCATGCTCAATGTAAAACCACTTTTTACCGCTTGAGATACCTGCGTGTCGCGTAGTACGTCTTCCGGTAACAAAAAGATGGTAATGATAACACCTTGCTTTGATCACTGCATTCCCATTAATTATTTACCACTTCATTGACCACAGTGGCCAAGATCTCACTTGCTCGTGTTTATGATTTGGCTGATTATGCGGCAAATTTTTACCCTCTGTCATGCATTAATGTTGCTGATTCTTGGTTTAAAAAAATCTGTAGCACGAAAAGTGTAATACTATTGCAGAAACTAAGACCGGTCTGATCCTATGACAAGTTGTTTGTGTGTTATTCATTTAGCATTAATCAGTTGAGTTTTTTGCATCACCTGCTGTATTCTTCGAACCGAATTGCATAATATTTCCCACAAGCACAACAGTTGCTTCATCTGTTGATTGAGAATGTGAGTGAATTTGAGTGAAAGCATGCGTACTTTGAAAAACTCACGTCTCGAAATCATCCCAACTCGTGGTTTTCAACTACTATAACAAAACCCGACTAGAGCCACTTGAAAATAACTTTTAAGGAACTACTTACAGCACATGTATGAAGATGCATGAGTTGTGTGAAGAGGTGGACTACTTTCACGTTCCGAAGATTTGAATGTAACTTAGATGAGACGACTGGGCAGCATTGAACTAACAAAGGTAAATGAGTGCCATACATAGGTTTCGTGTGGTTTTCCTATGCAAACGTTTTGCAAAATGACGACCGACAGAGGGAATGCGCTCGCTATGAAACAGCGATCCGCTTTGAGAAGTGCAAAGCCAATGAATCTTCATGCGTTGGTTCATACAGGGAACGGATCATTGCCAATGAGATCAAGTGTCTTTCAACGTTTGCAGGAGGTCAGTGAATGGCCATTTTTCCTCACTCATGAGTGATTTTTAGTTCATCAAAAGTGCCTTCGTGGCTGGCGTAGTCGAACGACCACCGGCAGCGCCAAAAAGCCCACCAAAAGGACTGTGAACCATTCAATACAACTATACCTATTTAATTTGCAAATATGGTGACTCACCGACCTCCAACGGTTCCACTAAAAGATTGGGGTTATTGTGTCTGTTCTGCAGTTATAGTATCCCCAGCTCTTCTGTAGGCTAGCAACAGACATCCTTTTATAACGGGATGCTCAATAATCCCTTCCTGAGAAGGCTTTGAACGCGAAGACTTAAACCAAATTGCGCAAAATTGTTTACGAATGGAAAATCTTTTATAATCTGCTGAATAAAAATTAAATTCGCTGTTGAGACCAAATGCAAGCCATTTTAATGTATTTTTAACTCCGAAAACCGTTGGCATGGTCTCTGTACTGGAGAATTGCAACTTAGCCTACGAAATACAAACGAATTAAGAAATTGGTACTCACGCAAGCCTCGTAAAAACATATTTTCACAAAAAGCGCACAACAATTATTGTTTACCGTTACAAAAGGAATGTGCACAATCCCCAACGTACTGTAAATAGAAAACAATTTCAAAATTCAAGTAGAACAACACGCTTGAAATGCCCCTATGAGTAAATAATATTACGAGCCCTTGATTTTCAAATCCAGAGCGTGCACGACGTTAATACTTACTCGTATCTTTTGGTGGAAGAAGTTGGAAAAATCTTTAATGGAAGTCTTGGGCTATTAGAAATATCGTTCTGGCAAAGTAACACCACTTAAAGATAAACCTGGAAAAAACGTCTTTAAAACAACTAGCCATTTATGATAAGGTCAGCAATGGTCGCATTGGGTTAATGCGAAATGGACGAGAAATTCTGGAATTTTTTACATTATAGATAGTAAACATCATTAAAGATTTCAGGCTACAAATATTTATGCTCAATTAATTGTTCTTCGATGGGTGGATTGGATAATATACACTCGCAAGTAGAATTGCAGGGCATTAACAGACTCAGCAGAAGTGTATTCAGTAACCTAGCCAGGGAATGCAGCATCAAAACAATGCACGAAGGCAAAAAATTGGTACGGAGCCCTAGGGAAGTAAAATGAAGCAAATATAGTAAATCATAGCTGAGCGAAAACCTACGACCATGAATAGTGCCAGTTCAGCTACTTGAATTGTCTTGTAAGAATTTTCGGCTTTAAGGCTATCTCACTATTTTTCAGTGGCTGGATTAAAAATTACTCCAAGTTAACCAAAGAAAGCATTCTTCCTAAATTTATGATTCCCTGGTAAATATCGTTACTTAGTAGTGTAATAAGGCTGGCTAGAGAATTGGAACAAAAGCATTAGGCGCTTTGCGTCTACGAATAGTGGAATGTGCAAAAGATTTAAGGCATAAATAGACGTTTATATCATGGGCTTAAAATAAGTAAATCGTCGAGGAGTGCTTTCTTTCTTGGACTGAAGCCATTAGAGGACCAAGGCCCTATATTCCAGTTGAAGATTTAACCTCTAGGATTAACTACCCTTCTAAAGGCTAGTATTTTTGTCAGAAAAACGCCCAGTCTCCTCGATATTAATTTGTCAAAACTCATGCTAATTGCAACCTTGTTTCTTTACTGCACCTTTCATTTTTTTGGCACGTGACAGAAATATCCACGTGCCTGAGTCTGATTCTCTGTGGTACTCCACTCATCCACCATTCTCCCGTACACTCAAAATGTTCCAATTTTATGAACAAGCACCTTCATATCAACCGCCATGATTTAATTCTTATTAAAGTGCCTACAGTGAAAAGTGTAAGCTCTCAGTGTTTTTTGGCAAGATCAAAAAGGAAAAGAATTAAACAAGGAGTTCATATTCCCGTTATCTTTCGCACTATCGTGAAAATGGCGTCTAATTAAAGGATCATAAAACCAACTCTATAACTCCAGAAAAATGCATTAAATGCTATTGAAGATTATGTGTTGTTTTTTTTGCAACTTAAAACACTCCAGAGGAAAGAAGAGGATGCATCGTTGAGCTCCTTGGCCTGACTGTTCCCAGTCTGCTCATTTTACGGTGGCAAGCTCTTTATCCCGCGTTATGGTCTTTAATTTGCCAGATTAACCATTTGGGGAAGAAGTGCATTGAGGGTGCTTTTAAACTACAAACAAAAAAGAATTCTTCTGCTGTTCCAGTTTTTCACGTGAACTCGAGGAAGCATAACACCGAAAAAAACAAAGTGGAAAGGCACATTTACATCAATGAATCTAAATTAAATACTAGTCTAGGCAGCTCCATTTAACTTTCTTACATTAATTCGCAACGATGAAGATTTTACCCCGTCTTTGATTAAAAAGATTCATAATGGCTTGGTTGCACGAAGATTCGTCCTGACAATCTTGCTAGATACTCTCAATATTTGAAATGGAATGGCAAAATTATGTCCGGGTTTTTAAATTAGTCAAGCCCCGGTTATAACTAGTTTTGATTTCCAAAAATCACCGAAAGTCGTAAAAACTCAATTCCTTTTATTTGCAAAGACCACACTTGGACCCATAATCCATGCATTAATTTATATGGCCCTTATTTATGCAGCTGCATCTTCACTCTAGCACAGACTATCACAGGGCCCTCCAATTTGATTTAGATTGTCTTCATAATGGAACTCGCTATGATAACCAGGGAGGAGCCATGGACAAAGTCCTTATAAAGAAGCCTTTTCTCATGGCACTCATTTAATAGAAAACCAACCTAAAACTTTAGTCGACTGGTCCAAAGGGTAGTTGCATACATTCTGGGGTTGGAAATTGAGGATTCAAGTGCATGAATGGATGTGTGTATGGGTGTATATAGGTAGTTTGATAATTCAGCGATAACTGTCTTTTTCTCTTGCTTTCCTTCCCTCCTTTCGCTTCCTCGTGTCAGACATTTTGGTGCAAAGGGGTGCATGCATCTCAGTGTTCTAACGCTCTCTACATTGAATATCTATAAAAATAGGGTTGATATAAGGGAAAAGAGAATAAGTGGATGTTGTTTTTGTACACAGGAAGTACTTCCACTTGCATACACGTTCATTGAAAGACCTAAATGCGGATTTTATAAAGGAGCACTCATAACAGAACAAAAAAGGTCATTGGCGCAGCGGGGTCAATTAGCTTGGTGGGAGTCGCCCAGGGAGGAGGTTAGGTAGGTAGTCTCAGTTTCAGTCCTAATTAGAGGATGTCGTGGAGCCACGAGATTGTCGCCATCGTCTCTACCACCGCTGCATCGAATCGCTAGAAGGGAATTTGGAAGATGTCCATCATTTGGGCAACTGTTGATAATGATAGGAAGCACCTTTTTAGTCCGATTTGGATTAGAGACAGTGCAGTTGGCGCGGGTCAGGGGATTCTCGACGATAGAGTCGAGGGTGGGCAGTTTTCGTCGTGCTGCGCCACTACCAGGAAGAATTCGGTGCGAGCGAAGAATGGGAATGGAGAGCTGTGGTTGAAGTACCTTCCGCCTTTCAGTAATCGCTACGTGATGCTCCCTTAGGTTATTTATGGGAGGAAGACGTCGGGAAGCATGGTCCAAGTGGACAGTGGGGAGTTTTCGCTTGGGAAAGTCACTGGAACGGAGGTCGGGGGACATGATGTGAGAGGAGCAGGATGAGGATTGAAAATGAGGTGGGAATACAGATTTTTTCGATGGAGAAGATTCTACTGAAGGAGGTCGGCTTTCCTGCTTAGAAGGCTGGTCGGCTGTGTCGATAAGTTCGCGTCGAAATTCACCTTCGGCAAGTTTGCGATCAAGTTCATCGAAGATTTCCATAGGGTCTCTACTTCTCTCTTGCTCGTTCGCTTTGATCCGAGCTGAAAGGAGGATAGAGATCCGAAAAGCGCAGTTGTAGCACTGTTTGTATTCCACCTAGAACACAAAAACGCTGGATTGAGTATGCATGATATTTAAATGTCTCATTCAGTTTATGGAAACTTGTAAGAATTTGTTTAGGGCCACGTCGGTGGTGGATCCACTTTGTGGGGGATTAAAAAGTAGTTGCCTAACCTAAAAACCGGGATTAATCCACCTTTGGTTATTTCATCAAAAAGTAACAAGAGTCTTAGCAATTAGAATTTTTTACATTTCTTAAAATCTGTTTGCGGAGGAAGTACTCAATGCTCGGCATAGGGCACACGAATTTTAGCAGGATCAAGTAGAATTACAGTTTATTAACAACTTTTTCAGTCTCCCGTGATTTGGCAGGGATGTTTTAATCGTTTCGTCCATTGATACTAAACAGGACTTCCTACTGACATCCCTTCCCAATGCCTTCAGAGTCGCAGAAAGTCTCAATGGGTCTACAGGCTACCTACTTAACCAGTTGTCGGAACTTTTGAATTTTAGGTCGAGGATAATGAAGCTGAATATTATACGGGCATTCTTAAAGGCGTCTTATGAGGCGCAATTTGAGATTCACAAGCAAAAACATTTAACTTCTATGCATTTCCATGTACCTTCTTTCATTTGTTACCTTTGCACGTAAATGTCGTAAGAAGTAGATGAGAAATGGTACTTCTGTCATTAAAAATAATGGTCAAGTCCACCGCTTATCACACGGTTAAAATTAAACTTAGTTGACCTGATTGAAGTTTTATACTCTGATCTTTACTTCAAATTAAGGGTAGCATGTATAGTCCTTTAAGTACTATTGGTTGTTTTAAAAAGCATTGGCAACGGTGCCAATCTTGACATCAAACCTAAGACCTCTTTGTAAGGTCTCGAAGGGAGCAATGAAAAGTTACCAAATCATTGACCAGTTGGGGACGGTTCTGTTTGACAACTTCAACGGCACGAAACACGTCCACCTCTGATTGAGCCAAAATACGCTCCATGCAGGTACTTGCCGCACAGAAGACACCTACCCGCGACACTCCGTCGCTGCCAAAGAGAATTTATGCATGTGTAAAGGTGGGCACTCGAAACGCCAGACCACTTTGCGTACCTACGAGATGGCAAGTAGTGGACGTTTGCAGTTTTAGCCACAAAAGCGCGAAAGCAATGCGTAAGGCTAAGATGGCTAAGAAACACATATGCTGGGAAAACTGCTCATCACGGAAATTTACTAAATATTCAAATCAGAACTTTTCCACATGTTAAGTAATAATGTAGTCCGTTAAAGTTCTGTTTGAGCATTTCTTTAACTCACGGTTTTGCTAACGGACTACTTAGGGGCTCCGCCATTGTATCTCTGTTGGACGACCTGGCCTCTGGGCCGCATCAGTAGCCCTAAAGTTATTCTGCATATGGACAATACATATCTTGTCCGAGTAATATGTCTTCTTTCGCCTTCAGGTAAGTCTCAGGACGATACAGAAAGTTTTTCTTGGAAGACATTAAACGCTCTAAGGTCTAGTAGTCTAGTTAGGCAATTAGCAACTTTGACCACTTAATTTCATATGCTTCTCTTTTGCTATAAGCGTAAGCGAAACTAACAGAGATGGGCTTATTCAACATTAGAATGTGGTGATACGCCAGTATTTTGTTGCCTTATGTATATACATACTATTTTATCGCAGTAAATAAAAAGAAACTATTTTTACAGGTCGATTTTAATTTGAGATAGCACCGTGTGCCGATATTTCGGGAAAGTGGGGTTATTACTGGTTAGTTCTGTGCAGGCACAGCAAATACTACTAAAGAGCAAAATATTCACCTACTTGCTAACAACCAAAATAGGGCTATTGGCATCGGTTATGGAGTTCCATTCCCAAGCAAGGTAGGCCATTTGCACAATAATATCACAGGCTGTCTCGTCTGTTGAAGACATCGGCCACTGCTTTGTATTCAGGAGAATGACATCTCTACTGACATTGTCGTTACGATTTGGCATAAACTAAAAATAAATAGAAGACATAGAAGGTAAATAGTGAGATGTGTGTCTAAATATAGACAAGTCAAGTACCAGTAAATAACTTGGTCTTAAAAAATCCTCATTTCTAAAGATGGGGAATAATATTAACCGGACCTTTAAAGCTTTTACATTTGTGTAGCTGAAAACTTAATCAAAATATTGTGTAGAAATCGACTACAAACTTTACTTAATAGGGAATTCAGTTGCAATAGTGTGCTCTAAGTTAAGAGTTGAGTCAGTTATCTGTTTATACTCCATAATGAGAGCTTCCGTCTATTGAATGGAGAGTAAACCAACTATCCCAATGCCTACCCACAGACTCATTTACTCCCCATGGGTTAAGTAATCAGTTCTGAGAGATTTAGGGAGGGTCGTTTTCGATCTTCTCGCACTAACACAAACTTAAACAAAGCTGGAAAGTGTGTGTGTCATTATGCTGGAAATGATTAAAAGACTAGCATTACTCCCGTCCTCCCTTCTCCGCCACATACCGGATTAAAGACCGACGTGCCGCGTTTTTTGATGGAGAGTAGGAAAGCACTGGGCACTATTTCGGTTTCCTCATAAACCTCGCGCAACTTTAGCCCAATGGGACCGAATCGAGTTGATTGGTTCGCTGTCTTTATTGTGGGCCAGAAAATGGGATATTTTTGCTAAAATGGATTAAAATTAAACCGAATTAGCGATTTTCACTCACAATTTTCCGAGGAAAATGCACCTTATGCTTTAGTGTTTAGCCTTCATTGGGCTGGGAATCAAAGTTGGGCAAATTAGTTGTGCATTTTTACAGCGAAATTAGCTCCTTAGTGTGTGTTGAGAGGACTTTCCTCCACTGAAATATACATTTATTGTATTGAAATGCCAAGTTACAGCCTGAAAAGTGTATTATTTTGCCTCTAAATTTAATTGACGAAGCCTCCAAGCAAAGTCAAGGCCTTACAGGCAAAGCGAGGGAGAGAACTGGTGGTGAGTGGAGAGGGGAAGTAGACCAATCGAAATGGGTGGATTTCATAGTGTTTTTTTTCCCCAGCTTTCTTTCATCCCCCAAAATTGGTGCACAGACCCCAAGGCTTAAGTACACTGATATACAATAATGGACTAGACCCAAAGAAGGCCAATTGCCCAGGTTAGGAACTAGTGATGAAAGCAGTGAAATATCCCAGTACAAGGTATGGGTAGTTATCACCGGATAAGGTATTCATGGAGTAAAAGAGGTGCTAATTTCTCCCAGAGCAGCTATATTACATAATGTAATATCTAGTGCTTAAAGTTATTAACACATCATTTGAAAGTGCAAATGCTTCTACTAAATTTACCTAGATCTTTGGAGCATGATAAGACAGGATTTTGATTTGCTCATTAGTTAATAAGTTTTCAAAGGGAAAACAGGCCATAACAGCAACCACAAGTTATTTTACATCGTACAGAATACTACAATAGCTACAATATCACGTCGACCTATTTGACTGCCCATAACATGACCTGATGGAATATGCGGCTTAGATAAGGGAACTTACGTCACCAAACGCGTAAGAATTGAGCAGCGCAATGGCCGACACCTGGAAGTCAACCACCAGGCACCAAAAGTCGCTGAGTGTTGATACGAGGGGCCATTGGGTAACGATGTACTGGTTCTTCGCTCGGTAACCCTAAGTAATAAAAGTGGAGATTCACCTCACCTTGATAGCCTAGCTGGTGTTTACCTTTTTTTTTATAAGGAGGATCCCTTCACTTTCTTGCAAAAAATAACGTATATTAGAAGTGTTTGCTAAAACCATGGCTAGGCAAATACCTTTTTCCCATCAGAACAACTAAATTTGATTTCTCAAGACAAAAAATAATTCTAAACTAGTATTCCCGTCTTTTAATTAACTTAAAGGGATTAAAGCTATCAGCAACGATGTCTTGCCCTGATTGAGTTAAAAAGTTCTAAATCCGAGTTTTCTCATTTTTAAAATTTTGAAATGATTTAACGAATAAAATAACAATCAAATGCGAATTGGCACATAAAACTAGAGAGTTAGGGTGTGCAAGGCTTGCATTGCCAGAAAGGAGTAGCGGAAGTTTTGCTTTTAAAGGAGGCAAGATGGAAAATGTGCCTAAGATATATTCAGCCAGTTACTCGGTTTAGTGCATTTATTTCCATTTATGCATAAGAGGAAAAAAAACCGTTGAATAGCCCACAATGAACTAGAGGAATTAACCCTGTATAAAGATTTGACGTAATGAGGCAAGATTACTTACGTCTACGAATACGGCATTGATATAATCATTTGCGTCTCCGCTGTCTTGTGTTGTTAGATAAGGTCGGGCTCGTTCAGCTGAATTAACAGCATATAAGGCATTAGACCGTTTTACTGAACAGACTCTCGGTTAGGATTAAGGATTTACTGTGCAAGAATTTTGACCAGCATAAATCAACCCTAAGGTAAAACAAAATTTTATAAAAACTGCACAAATTAAACTAGAATAAGCTAAGTAAAAACAATGAATTCCATTAGTTCAATTGAGATTAAAGTGAGCATTTCAGGAGTATGCAGCTAAAACCACATGCTGCTTGTTATTAGTTGGCATACGACGGAATTTTACTACTCATTTGACATTCCTGTGGCTGGGTGAATGTGTACAGCCTAAAAGCCGTGGCTCAATAAATTAAGCAGCTCAAGTGATTTGACATCTTCTCGCTTTTGTAGGTATATATGCAAATTTTCCTTTAATAATTGAAAGTACACAGAGAGGAAATGGAGCAGGACTTATAATACTGCCCCGATTAAGATACTCCTTCGAGAAAGCTATAATGCATGGCGACATTACATGTACAGCCCGTCATCATGTACCGAGTAAAATCTAGCAAAATGGAGCAGATGAATCAATTTTGTCCGTGGACACCTGGGTCATAAACACTCAATTAAACTAAAATGTCATGCGAATTCCTGGACTAAGTTAATTAATAGATTTTCGGGAATAAAATAGCCAAAGAATTTCCTTTCATAATATAAATACCTGGGCGAAATATGATTTCATTTTTCGGTGCTGTAAATGTGAATTAACAGGCTGAAATTTTATGCAAAAGTAGAGTGAAATAACTGCTTTTAACCAGACTGTCTGTCTTCACTTGGTGTTTGTCAACCGTACCGAGTCACGGTGAATGGTGATGCTCTAAAATTGGCTCTTGGCCAGTGTTAGTGTAATACCTTAATTGTTCGTTCAACTCGTGGTTTCAGCGACAGGCCACTCCAGGGTTCTGCCACTGCATCTTCGCTGAGTGGTCTGGCCTCCCGGCCATTCCTGTAGCCCCTAAGCCCTTCTGCATATTGGCAACACATATTCCATCCTAGTGTTATTCCTTATTTCGTCTTTGGAGAGGTCTTGGGTCACTACACTAGTGTCAGCCAAAACCCTGTTTACTCGACAGAAACGAGCCGTTACGTAGGGTACCCATAAAGTGATGGGAATTTGCCCACCTATTGCTAAAACCATAAATTTAAGTTCACAGCTTCTAACATATTCATCGAGGGGATTATAATTTAACGATGTGAAGTACCGCTAGTGATATTCCATACCGGGGACTCTGAAAAAGCTCACTTATAATAGCCTTCCCAGAAAGAGTGGTCATTTTGTGTGGCTGATCACTGGGAGAGGCAAAATAAGTAGATTAATGCGTTGAGAATAGTGTTTACATTTCAGAATTAAAAATACCCGAAGCCATACTAATTACTAATGATAGATTTTAGAAGCCAAAGCAGTAATTTTCCTTTTAAAGAGCTGCCATCCCTACCTCTGGAGCTGATAGTACCCAGACTTCGGATGTTCTCTGCATTTAATTATGACGAATAATGCGAAAAGTGGTTCGAAACTATGCATGTCAAGAACAATTAACTTAAATTAAACTGTTCAAAAAAGGCAAATTGAGATGCAGCACTCCCACCAGCCTGAGCAGGAATTACGGCATGAAAATAGGATCGGTAGCATTTCCAACCTTTGAGCAAACTATCACCCCAATACATATGACAGCAAATTTCCTAAAAATTATAAGTAGGAGACAGGAATGGAAAAGTAGAGCACTTACGGGGCTGAATAAGAACGTTTCTACTTTTTCTTCGATTTTCTAGACGATGACCTCCTGCGCATTCACCCACGGTTAGGGGTTTGACCAGACGGTTTATCAGCTATCATAAGAAAAGAAGTAGAAATGTGAACCAATCAGATAGCCCTATCTGGCGATTCTATCTGCCAACTCTTAAATTTAGTAAGGCAAACTACCCGAAACCGGTCTCATCAACTTAGTGCCTGGTAGGTTTTATATGTTAAATAGGTGCGAAACTACTGTAGAGGTAAAGAGGGTTACAATAGCAGAGACTAAGCTGAAGCATGACGGCTTCATTCTTAATGTAAATATCATACTTTAGTATTTGCCTCACTTATTCACCAAAGCACCACTAGCCCACCCATCTGTCCGTGCAATTTTTAGTAGTTCGCTTGCTGCCAAAAAAGTGCAGCGGAACCGAAGTTTAATTCATTATGAAAAAGGCCCCTTTCCACTGGAGGCCTAGTAGTTTTTCATTGTCTAAAGCCCTAATGAGTATGTTTAGAACCCCCAGCGAGTGGCTTGAAGCACTAAGTAAAGTACCATTTTGGAGGGAGGGTTTCCTGAGGAAATCGGTAATACCTTCCCCTTGTGTGAGTTCCCAAAATGTGTACACAAAGGATTCATTAACTATAGAGTACCTAATTACTGTCAAAAAAATGCCACTGTGGTGATGGTAATCACTCATCTTAAGTTCTTTTTTGGAATGTGGGGGCTTTGCAAATTTAACTAAATACGTGCCAAGCAAGCCAAAGGAATTCTTAATATAGACGATTGCATTCTATTTATAGAAGGATGGACTCTTGAACATCAATAGAAATATTTTCATTCCACATATGTTCTTGGTAATCATACAAAAGTATCAATATATTATTGGTGACCAGATACTTGTCTAAATGAGCCTTACCTCCTACTCGGCGCCATGGCCTTCTGGCTATTCTGTGGTTTCGTAATAACTAACTTTACCATGCTGATATTGCCTTATTAGGGCTTCAAGGAGGGCTACATTGGTAGCGAAGTTGAGCAAACCCACTCGAAATGACGAAAAAAGAAGACATCACTGGGGGAAACACGGTTTTACGAATGAATGAACCTAAGAAGATGATTTCTATTCTCAGAATTTCCTAATTTACTGCCGCCTACAATGACTATCTTTGAAACGGGATTAAGTCTCAAAGAATCTGTCGCAAATTAGACTCGACAACAGGTTCGCTACTTCTACACGAACAGGTCAGTGTATGGAGCCTTATATCTGGTTAATCTGACCTCTATTCAATAGCTTTTCTGCTTGGCACATAGATAATTTTCAATAATAGGGATCGACTTTGAGCTATTAGTCATCAAAATAAATTTATTGTTTTTAAGTCATTCATTTGGCAACAACTATTAAAACCTTTAGATGACGGCAGGTTTGAGGTTGTCAAAAAGTTGAAGAAGTGTAATTTTTATCAAAAAACCTGAGTAGAGGTGTTCAATTGACCTTTTCGCTTTAATTTTCACTCATCATAGACTGAGTCAAATGATTCTGTACCGAGGAACTATAAATCTTATCGCTAGGCAAATTTGAGGGCTAATTAATTTGTCCCACCCACCGTATTCACACAACAAATTGCGTAAAAATCCCTGAACCTCACCAAAAGCTTTTTTTGCCAGCTCTCAGTTATTTTTCCTTACGACTCACCATATTAGCAATGAACTTTATTTGTCTGGAGGATTTAATTAATTACCAAATTTTTTTGTTAAGTTGGAAATAGGAAAGCAGGCTTTACCCATAATGGCAATTTTTCGGACATGTTATGATATCCTCCAATTCCTCACTCTGCTGTTGTATCACTTTATCATTTGATATATGGGAAAAAATTTTTATTTAAAAACAGTGAGTGCCACTTGTTAAATAACTACTGTTTTTTTAGAACAGCTTTGAATACAAAACCGTGATAAAATAAGCAAGTAAACTTCTCAAAGGAGTGAATGAGGAATGTGTATAATATTTTAACTCTTTGTTCAACTCTCGGTTTCGGTAACGGCCCACTTACGGGCCCCTCCATTGTACCTGCAACGAGCGGGCTGTCCTTTGGGCCATGCCAGTAATTCCAAACCCTACTGTTCGCCGACAAAGCACTTTCTGTTCGAGTGTTATGTCTTCTCTCTCCCTCGGGGAAGTCTCAATGCCCTACATTGGTAGCAGCAAAAAGAAAAACCCTTTCTCAAAGGATAACTAAACTGATTTCTACTGCTGGACGGTAAACTTTAACGTGGCGGAAGAGGATATGATGTGGAGGAAAAAACCTGTTGAAGCCCCTAGCAGAAGGGTTAACAATGACATCTACCTTTGGCAGGCGCCCCAGCCCCGTGTTTTGTGGGAGAGGTATTAACAACCGAACTGACACTAGCCCCGAATCATGTAAAAAAGTTCGTTACAGAACTGTCTATTGTACCCGTATAAAGATGTCAAAGAAGTGAACATGCTATATTAATTCTTCCGCCCCTCTACTGTCTGGATAGAACGTGGATAGATATTGCTAAGCAACACTGAAGCGTGAACAGCGTAAAATGCAGGAACAAACACAAAATCTTATTCTTAAGAAGTTGTGTTCAAACCCTTGGCCTTCGTTACATGGCCTCCCTTTTAAGCTAGTGTTCCTTTGACTATTGATGGACACGCATGTTGGTTGGTGAATTTTCTTGTCCCCCCAATGCAGTTCTCATCCAGGATGAAACTCCAAATCCAGTGGAATTGTTAAAGGGGGTCATTGACGCTGCAGTGAGAAACCTTTTCTCTTGCATGCAAATTCAGTGACTGGTGCGGTCGGCTCTCCTGCGTTCTTTTAACAGCACCGCTTACGTTGAGATGACTGCCACGGGAGGTCGACCAAGGGGAGCGCCGAAGACGACGCTTAAAAGAGGAGAGGGAGCTATGTAATGCATTAAATGTTTATTGAAATATCGGTTGTGATAATGAGCCACATAGGAGATAAGCCATCGTACCTCCGCCATGCTAGTAGCCCAAGCCATACTGTACTGTATCGTAGACGCCACACGCGCTTTTGCTATCTTATCATGAAACAAAAGTTCAAAATAACTCTCAACTGCGTTAGGTTGAAACTTCAAGTAAATAAAAGGAGATCAAAGGACACATTTACACGGAATTCAGATTTCCCTTTTTTCTGTTCCGCTAAGTTGGTCGTTAAAAAGTCCGCATTTATAAATGAATTTTTTGAGTTTGTATTGTAATGCAATATGGCAAAGCCAATTTGAGAGATTTGCCTTTCCATAACATGCAAAAAATATTTAACCACCCGAATTCCCAGCAAAGACGAAAATGACTTGCCACTCATCATTAATCAACTCACTAATGTCAAATTGGCAAACCATTCTTTGGGCATATTTATATATTAATCTGATTGACGTTGCAGAATGCCTCCAGTCTACTCTTTGGATGGTGTTTGGCCAGTTGGGTGCATTAAATTTTTTGCTGGGAACCATTCAATACAGCTTCGTACTCCAGAGTAAATAATCTTTTGAAAATTCTAAGTGCAGTATCATCCAACCGATCATTTACTCACTCCGTTTTTGTATCCAAAGCAAAAGATAAAACATTGCAAATGGAAAGAACACTATTTAAGAGTGTATCATTCACCTTCTTAAATCAGACATTACAAAAATTTAGTTCTTAGTATTTTCTTGATACCTACCTTTCCAAACTTTTTTATTTGAGTTTAACAGGAGATCACCAGTTTAATCTGAGAAGACTTCCTGTTTGGTGACAAACGTACTGTTAGTTCGGCTTCATACTTCGAGGCGCAATGTCCAATGCCGTAGCCGAATCTGGGCGGTTGTCGAAGCTGTTGTAGGACGTCCGGAAGGGTGCTAAGAGGTATACTGGTCTCTCCACCAGATCGAACCCATTCGGCAAGAACGGTGTAGATGAAGGAGTACTGCTCCACACTATCAATCATCTGCGGTCGTGATGTAGCCACTTTCAGCGCATATTGTGCCAATGGAATAGCAGCACCGATCTCGTCCTTGCGAATCACGTCAAGCAACTCATTTATGCATATGAAGGTGCCTGTCCGACCGGAACCATCACTAAAAAACCAAATTACAGAAAATCTTGGTGGTTTGGTGAGTTGTCATCCTCCCTTATCAAATTTTACACAGATTACGCTGATTGTCCTTTGAATTATCTGTACGCCTTCATATTTCCTGTTTCAAAAATGCATCGGTGTATTCTTTCCTTTCCGTCATGTAAAGCAAATTTGCTTTGCATAATACTATTCCGACTTCCTCCCACGAATTAAAAACTTAAATCAATGAAATGAATTATTGTACTGCGAAAACTACAATCGTGGTAGATTTCAGTAAGAACGCATAATTCAAAGGAATACTAAAAGTTATATGGACTAGGCCGTTTCACGGTAGTAAGATTTCGTGGATTAATTTTTAACCTGATTAGGTAAGCCGAATAAAGCCGCCTCCGAGCGCGATAAAATGTCTACCTCACTGCTAAAAGGAAACCGAGTGCGTCGAATGTTTTATGCCCAAGATGTAAAAAAGGAGTTGACAATAAAAGAGACCAGACAGTGTGAATCTGCAAGAAAATGATGTTTAGTATTTCTCAATTCTGTTAGAAAAATTTGTGAAAGAATCGCACTTTAGCAAATGCGCAATAAAAGGGTTTAAGAGGTTGCATATTCAATTAAATTTGACATTCTCTTCCTCTTCTCTTATTTACTCCCAAATATTCCACTCAGTGTGAGTCGTTAGGAGGTTAATTGAGGAGTAAAACAGTGCCCTCCGAACACACCAAGGCAAATATAAAAATAAGTTCTGAACGAATACTGCCAGTGTGGCACCAAACATAAACTAAGTTACCGATTGTAGCTTTAAGCATGCATAAGACAGGCTCTTTCCGAACGAGTAGATGGAAGCACGATATAAGGTACTCAAAGGGTGTCAAATCGCCACCCTCTAAAAACTACAGGTCATCATTTAGGAATATGAGGCGCATCTTAGTGAACATGAAGGATTGCTCCATTTCCAAGCTTATTTCCCGAATTTTTCCGTAGTAATCCACTAAATGCTGAAGTGATTAACTTAAGGTGTTGACATTAGAATACCATAAATGATTGACTACAGTCTAAAAACTAGAGAAACTCAGAAGTTTGACTCGTTTTGGTAACCCTAGCACTGAAGAGCTTGGCCATTGTAGTTCCACCCAGAGGAGTAACCTCAAGGCTGTGCCCGTAGCCACCCAGCCCCTGTGTTCGTCGATAATAAGTATTCTGCCCTAGCATCAAGTCTTCTTTCGTCTTCATGGCAGCCTCGAGGTGCTACATTGATGGCAGCAGAAAGCAAAACAGGTTATAAAGAAGGTTTCTTCAAAAGTTTGCTACTGATTGTTACACCTTAAACGTGACTGAAGAATGGTGCATGCTGTGGATGGAATAATCTGCGTTGACTCCCAGCAGAAGGGTTGTGTATGACGTCAACCTCTGGCAACTATCCCAGTTCCATGTTCTGAGGTAATGCTATTAATTACTAAAGTGACACTAGCCGTAGCGGTGAACCATTAAAAAGTCCTGTATAAATTGCCTGTATAAAGATATTAATTAGGTAAATATGTGACACCTCCTCCATCTCTACCAGCTGGATAGAACCCAGATAGATATAGCTGGGTAACACTGAGATGAGATGGTAAAGAGGAACAGATACGAGATCTTACCCCCAAGAATGTATTTTTAACTATGTCCTTTCTTAGATGACTCCTCTTTTTTAACCGGTATTCTTACCACCAGCGATGGGCATGCGAAGTGGCCACTACTTATACTCCCCGCAAATACGGTTCCCAAATAGGACGAAACTTTAGACACAGTAGAATTGCCACTGATACTACAGTCAGATGTCATATCAATTGCACTCAAATTTGACGGCTGTCGAGGTTGGTTCATGGGTATTTTTCCTTACGGCATCTACTGAAGTAGAGTTTTGACCAAGGGCAGTGCCGAGGACGATACCCAAAAGAAGAGGGGGCTACTTAATACTTCGGTTTTTTGTTTAACTTTTCCTTTAAGTAACATGGGAACTGAGGGTCTTGGCTACTGTACGGAATGGTCTCCGAGAAATGCTGGTAGTCTCTGCGTCCAACCATTCGTCTCTAATACATTTTCTGCCTATATATTATGTCTTTTTTAGTCAACAGGGAAGTCTTGACAAGATACACCTAAATCAATTAAATATATATATCCATACTTGCTATAGACGAACTAATTTGATTGTAATCTAGTATAGGACCTCCATTCAATTAAAGCCCCAACAATTTCGGCCAATTTACTACTCTGGCGACGCAAGTGAACCAGTGCAAGGACCGTAAGGCATGTGTCTTGTACGAGACACCTCCATTTCTCAAACGCTTTTGCCCCTCATCCATTCATTCATTTTGTTGCTCTGCTAGAGTTGATAAGTTGGCAAAGTAGAAATTTTATATCTGTGTAATGGGATAGATTTTGTTGGATCAGAGATTGTAAACGTTATGCCTATGCCTTTGACATTTGTCTTACGATTTCTGGAATGCTTTTCGACAAGCAATGGATGTCAGATTATTCTCGAAGTAAAACAAAAAAGTGTAAATCTGATTTTTTGAGCAAGTTCTTCCTACTATCAAGTTGAAAACATCATATTTTAAAGGGCACAATATACGTTATTTTCAGTCCACGTTGGTAAGAGCTTCAAGTTAGGAGAAAATATTTATAAAAGGAATGAATTTGAGACCCACGTGCATGATTGAGCCTTTTTGTCAGTTTGGAAGCACCTTTTGTGTATAAGCTAAAGACACATCCATCGAATATGTAGGCCCGAAAAAACGCGATTCCAGGGCATCGCATGCAATGTACATTTGCCAATAGCCTCATCAGTTGGGTTTGAGAATAGTAGTAGAATTAAGTGGCATAACGTCAACAGTTCACCACTTGCCTAGTCTTTGAAAAAACTAATTTAAATTGGCCTTTTGATTGATAAATGAGGTTATGCAATAAGCAAAATGCGAAATTGTTACGTACTGGTACTTTCATTTTTCGCTTTTAAACCAAACGATTGCTGCATTCACCAAACGTATTTCACACAAACAAATTAAAAAGCTTAATGGCGGTAAAAAATGTTGCCAATGTGTTTTCTCTTCCCAGCTACTTTTACTTGTAACGAAAACGTGATACGATTGGGACACATCCTATGGGGTATTATGCAATGCATCCTCATTGAACCGGAACCGGCAAATACATTTTTAATTCCGCTTAGCATATACTCAAGTCAGGAAAAAAGGTGTCCTAATAATAATATGAAGCATAAGGAATAATTTAATCACGATTTACAGCTGCAGATCACTTGGCCGCGAGATGTGCCAGTTAGTAATATCCAATGTTCTTCAATGGACGTAAAACTTCCAAACTAATCAGAAAATCCCTAAACCTCATGACATTCGCCAATTATACATCGCAGAAAATATGTATCATTTAAGGTAACGCATTTAACGCTTTGTCATCGGCTTTGGAGTCCACCTTAGAGCACAAAGGAACACAGGACCAGGTATGCTCCCTCTAGATTGCTGAGATTATCCCTCTTGTCCCGATTCCAATCAATCACTTGATTCTCCAAAGGGAAACACATTGGAAGGCAAAAGTTACGTTAAGACAGGTTTAAGCCCAATGACATAAAGGAGCTCAAAATGGTAAAAAATGGGAGCTAAACTTTTATGATCCGTCCCGATTGCCACGGAAGAGGGAGTGACGCTTTTACTGAAGATGCAGTAAGGCTAAGTGGCGCATCCTCTCGCATTAACAACCAAAAAGTTGTATAGATTAAAGCTTCCTTCGTTATGGGACAAATTTCTCATGAAAGTTATCAATTCATTGTCGCTTTACAGTTCCTACAAAAGCAATAAAAGCTGTAGATAAAAAAGTAGAATGCCCTCACTCTTTGCAAAGGTTCAAAAGTCCTCCGTTACTTGCACGACATAAACTTGGGTAATTTCGTTAAATCTGGCCTTATTAATACTTTATGCACCACGAAGGTCATATTACATATTGTTCCCAACGCAGACCAGGCAGAAACTCGTTTATGTGCATCATGAAAGGTGCCGCGTCATTCAAATGAGAGGGCGAAAAGCCATTAAGCCGCATTAGGTAAAACAAGGCAGAGCATAGGAAGCATTCGTCGACACGGAATGCTAAATACCATTTTGTTTGTTCCATAAGTGTCATATTTTAAACGTGGAATGATATTCGGGCTGAAAATGGTCCCAGTATCAAAGACACATTTTGGGATTTGTTTAAAACGACTACCGATGGAATAGTAAATGTGTGGGCAATTAAATCATCCTCACTCAGGGAAGAAGTAATTTCATTTTTATCATTCATTAATATGCAACTTTTATTTGTCTTTCCTTCTGTTTTATTTGCTTTGTCTTGGCCCATCAATCATTCGACCACATTACGCCATGCGCGTTGTTGAATGCGGAATTGCGTTGTTTCGAAAGACAGTTGTCAAGCTATTCTACGCACATTTGCATTGAAATGTCAGTCTGTATCCTCCATTCATGAGGTCATCTCTTACGGTTTTTGCCTCCAATATCACCAATGATGACCTAATCTTGGTGGAAAGTCGTCTATTTAAATGCTAGCGTCATCCCAAATATGATGTAAAATCTGTTTTCCCTTTGTGGAAAAGTACTAACTGCCTTAATATATGGAAGTTCAGAACCATTTCAAATACCTAGAAGCGGCCGTATTGCAGTTGGACTCGATTCCTCATTTTGTTGAATTTTAGGGAATCTTTGCAGCTACCTACTTTAAATTGCATGCAAATAACCCAGAAATATGACTCACTATTTTGTAGCATAAAAATACAGAAAAATAAATTTTACCACTCTAGTACTAACGTGGTTGTGATGGAGCTGTAAACAAGATAATATCGGTTTCACTGAAGTCCTGAGGTTTTACTTCCCTAATTATGCTTCACTACAGAATAAAATGCATTTTACCGGAAAAAGTAACATTTTCTTGTTTTTACTTGATTGTTTGTTAGAGGACTAGCCCGATTTAAGGCAAGTGCGGAACATAAAACTTGAGTGACTTACGAGCAGTGAACCACAATGGGTCCCTCCCTACCCTGTCTCCAAGCGTATAGCTTCGAGGTTAATTCAATGACGGCACCGATGAGAGGAAATCCGTTTTTATTCCAAGAATCCAGCTGAAATTGGCGAATTATCCGCTTGACCTCAGGTGCATCATTCTAAATTCAAAAATAAAAGTTCTACACTTTGTTATAGCTCGGCAGAAAAATTATTTTCGTAATTGTTTAAATGTCTGGTATCTTCGTTCTTCATGGTTTTAGTTTCATCTCTTTTGGTGTGGCGATCCGTCCAGACCTCCACCTCCCACCCTTCATGCAGAATAAGTATTTCAGTAGGTCTTCAAACTGCTGAGATGTATAAAATCACCTCTTTCTTGAAAAACTCAATTTCTAATGAGTGGAACCTAACCGCAGTGATAAAAAAATACTACAACTATTCATTCGGTATATTACAAAATCGGTTTAAATCAAGTAGTTTATGACTGACGACAACATGAAGCCTCAAACTCAAAACTACGTAGCAAATGATCATATCAAACAATACAAAATCACCCTTAGTATGTGTCAATGAGCAAATGCAAAATTCCATCTGGTTGGTGGGACAAGTGATCGTGTCATATCTAGATAATTTTTGAACATTTTTGGCATGTTGCCGAAGTATCAGCTGATACGGTTTCTTGGTACGCCTGCACCGGGCATTTAGTGTCAGGTCTAGGTAAAGCTTTCGCTTAACACCATTAAGAAGCATTTGGAATCTCCTTCGCAAAAGTGAATGTTTCCCAAAGAAGAGGTGGCTTACGTCATGCACCACCAATTGTCTTAAAATCTAAGCTTATTTATGATTTTAAATTGATCAGTAGTTTATCTCAGTATTATCCTTCCTATCCTCTAATAATTTGATTGTCTGTTTATCACTTCGTTTCCTTTCGTGGGCACTTAAGACCTAGCTATTGAACTTTCGCTAAGTAGTACTGTTTCCGGGTATTGTTAATAGTTCCCCAGCCATTCTGGAAATCTCGGAACTACATTGGTGGCAGCAGAAGGCAAGCCTGACCCCGTAGGACAGCTACCCTGATTTATATTACTGAATGGTGAAACTTAACGTGACAGAAGAAGGGTATTTGCTGCAGATAAGAGATTCCGTGGCAACCTCCAACAGAAGAAATGAAAATGGCGTCCATCTTCAACAACTACTCCATTCCTGTGTTCTACAGGAAAACTGGCAACAGTTGAAGCAACACCAGCAGTGAGCCATCTTGGGTGTTTGTTACGGAGTTGTTTACATTACCTGCATGAAGTTATCATTGAAGTGAACTCGCGATACCTCCTTTACCTCCCTACTAGGTGGATGGAACCTAACACCGACTACCTTACGATGGCATGTGAGGGAATTTGATCGCCAGGGACGTGGCTCAAAAGAAGAGAGGGTGCTTAGGACTCGATTCTTGTGCTTCCACTGAGCATCATGACCTCTGGGCCATTCCAGTAACCAACCTTAGCTCCTTTGTGCCTCGACGACTCACACTTTGCCCTCGTATCATGACTTCTTTAGTTTTGAGGGAAGGCTCAGGGTGCTACGGTTCGGTTTTTATTCATTCATTGTGCGTTCAAACACCACGTCCCTGAAAAAAATGGCATCCGAAAAACTCAACTCGAGTCAACTATGCATCAATGGCTGATTACTCATGTTTTGTCTTGGATTTCGTAAAAAATATTCCAATTTATCTATTCACTTCATTTTCATTATAATTGCAGTATTTCTCAAGATATGTCCCAATTTTTCGGTTTGCTTAGCACCGATGGTGCAGCGACTTCATCAATGTGCCTCCTCACTTCACTTAACGGGATAGTGACGGTTAGTGTTACTTGATAGCCATGTCAAGCCCCATCTTCAAAACTTACAAAGCCTACGCAAACAACATCTCATTTAATAAAACAAATCTTAGTTCAATTTAATCAAAGCTCCCAATAGTGTCTTAGTTTCAAAGCAGTCGATTTCATGAATTACCATGGCAACATTTAGCGGGGAAGTAAACCCATTTCGTCACATGATGAGGAACTCTAACATGTCTTCAAAGTTATGAGCTGCTTAGTTAAACGAAAGCAACACAAGGAATAATAACTAGCCAATCGAAGCGAAATACGATTTTATCTTTTGTTGATTCGTAAACAATGGTATAAACCTTGTTTGCAGGTGGCAGTACGATTGGCTTGTCACCAATGACGCATTTAAGGGAAGACATTTCAAAACAATTCCGCTAAAAGTTACTTGAGCCCCAAAATTACAGAAAATGCGCTGATTTTAATGCATGAAGCGGCTTGAACTAAGTAGTACATCTGGCAACAATTTATCGCCGATCCCTCTACATGAGTTCACTGAAGCCTGGCGTATAACGGAGGTGCCCATTCAAAGCGCCTACTGAGAGCTTCGTAAGCTGACTGACTCAGTGAGGTATTTTATTTCCTTAAAAATAGGCGGGGCTGCCAATGCGCTTTGAAGTCGGAAGCTTAAAATCACGTCGTTTACTTCAAAGTATGACTTAACAAGACGTCTCTCGTTTTTCGATGTCGAAGGTTTTTTGCTATCAAAATTCACGATAGCTTTGGTTTTCACATTTTGGCACAAAATTTGATTCCGTTGATGCAATTTAGTGCTGCTTAAGTCAAATATGATCCTACTTTACACTTTTTTAAGAAATGACACATCAAAACACTTATTGAGCCTATCAGCTAGAGAATGAATTTGGAAAAAGGATAGAATTGCTGCATTGTGGACCATCGGCACTATTAAATAATGTATATTTATGTAAAATTGTTGAAATGGTGAAGATTGTACTGTGCTACTTTGATGTTTTGTTTGGCGCTGCGCTTTGGCTATGCGCACTTAAGGCCTGTCTTTATAATCCTGCCGGGTAGCGTGGCCTCCAGGACATGGCAGTGGACGCCTCAGCCCTTCTGCACATCGACAGTACATTCTCTGTACTAGCATTATCCCTACATTCGACTCCGAGTGCTAAAGTGTGTTGCATCAAGATCCAAAACTTCAAACCGGCGTTTAGTTTTAATCTGCAAATAAGAAGCACTGTTTGAGATGAAGATCAGATTATGCCATTTGCAAGATCACTATATTAATTCGACTCTCATTTTCAATGCTGACTGCAATAATTTTTCTGTTTGTTTGACGCTCCGTTTTGGTTGCATAGGTATTAAGGCTTCGCCATTAAACCTCCGCACGGCGGCATGGCCTCCGGCTTATGCCAGTAGCCCTACCCCCTGCCCTCCTCTACGTCGGCCACACATATTCTGCCCCACTGTTACGCCTTCTTTCGTCTTCTGATGACGTGTGAGTAAATTATACGAAGTTTGGAACAACTCGATTGTCAATATTTGCCAGTAACTGCAGTAACTTTTTACTCAAGTATACTGTTGGAATCTTTAACATAGGCGTTAAGCATTGTACTGTGACTTGTGTCCAGTTCTTCGAATCTTTATTCAAGAATTTTTTCGGAATTTATCTTCTTTAATGAGGACTCGAGGAACATGCGACTCACCAGGATTATAATTAAATAACAGTGATCTGTTGATTCACCTCTCTTGCTTTGAGGATTTCTAGAAATGAAATACATTGTGGGGATTTTTTTTTCGTCTCTACATTTTACTGGGGCTAAACAGCAACTAGTAAGAATCGAAGCTTACCAACAGAAGTCAGTATCCCTTTTTATCTGAAGGCGCAATTTTTTGGTATTGCGGTGGTCAAGACTGCTCTAAATTTCACAGCAATGAATCCTCTTTTCTTTTTATAACAGTTTTGACAATTAGTAAGGCGTTAAAATACAAATGAACTTTTTCTTACAAAAAAGCAGTTTGGACAATATAACAAACGGATTATTACGACTGTCATACATAAAATCCTATGATTTCGTTTACTTAATCAGAAAATATGATTTTTTTTAAGAAAAAGTTACAAAATTTGACAAAAAAATAGGGATATAATGCCGCTTACTTGGAGATTCTGAAATGACACCGAGCTTAAGTTACCCACCCGACAACAGGAGAAATTGCAAAATTATTACAAAGTAGTTGAACAGAGGGGAAAAAGCGTGTCAACATTTACCTTTCAAAGGATCGATTGCTTAAACAAAGCATACTTATTTAACGGCAGTACGGAAGCAGTCGTGATCTAATACTTTGGTTGTTTGCTTAACTCCCTTGTCTTGGTTTCGTAGTCGCTGAAGGCTCTGAGTCTGTACTTGCTGTAGGTGGATGACCTCAGGCCTCTTCAGCCCTTCCCCGCATCGGCAATACCTATTCTGCACTGGTATTACTTGTTGTTTCGTCTTTGGGGAAACCTCAGATTGCTACATAGGTAACAAACGCGTCACCACTTTTCATAATTTCATAAACTTTCTCGCGTTTAATTTGGCAAAAAGGTCGATCATGTACAACGTAAAGAATATTTTTCATTCAATATTTAAGGCACTCTTTTGAATTCTAAGATGATAATGAAGCAAAATCTCTTTGTCCAATTGCGTGGGGCACTCAAAATCTCATTTAAATTATTATTACGACAACAGAGGTTAAAAGTCTAGGCATTTATGTGCTTTCTTGAAAGGATTGCAATTTACTTATGAAGAAAAATTTTTTTGAAGTGAAAGAGGAATCGCTGTGCTAACCTTGCATACGCGGAACTCTCGAATGGTGTATTGAGCAGTGCTGACAGCATCCCGACTTGTCACGTTGATTGCACCAAATGTGCAGCTAAAAGCGGGCCAATAGCGCTCGCATTGTTGCTAAGTGGAGATGGAAAAATAGGCTGAATCAACCTCCTTACAAAAAGACGGATAAAAATGTCGCCTGGAACGACGACGCTATGAGCTCCCACCCAGCATTGGGCCGTGCAGGAAGCCGGAGGTTTATTGACTCCGCGCACGAAACAGCAAGCAACTTTTGCACTCCCTCTTAAAATCCAAACCGTCCCAAATGAATTATGCATTCCACCGACGGGGGCGATAGAGCTAAAGAATTGCTCTTCTGTTAAACTCCAAGTCGCTCGAAGTAAAGGACTGTACTACTCGATCGGCGAGGAAGTGTTCATGAGCAAAATTGTGCTTATAACCGTGAATGCCTCGGCAAGAGAAATGGAATTATTTTTTGCGTCGACAAATGGTCACGTTTAGCAATAATTTGTTTTAGATTTACAAAAGGCTGATTAAGGCCAATTGTCCGTACGTTTGGTATCTTCATTGGAAACAATTTATAAGTAATATCCCAAGATGCATAGCACATTAACCTGTGCAATTACATAAATTAAGGGGTTTATGACTTTAGCAAGTTGCTTAAGCGATATGTAATAACTCCAAGAAGCAAAAATGAAGTCAATTAATTCATTGATCTAAATTCAATTAAAACAGGAAATGCCATCTACTTCAGAAACAATGAACTTGTCAAAATTGATTATACAAGTCATATGAGGCCTCAGAAATTTAACATTGGTTAGCAAGATGGATATTTAAATTAAATCGAGAATTTACTTATTACAGAGACGTTGGAGGGCGCTGCCACGCTTGTATCAAGCACAGCAGTAGGTGCCAGGTGGGTTCCATTGCCGTTATTAATGGCCGGCCCGCATGTCGTTGGCCGATCCAGACACCGCTAAGCCAGTTGACAGGCTACAGTGGGAGTGCGTGTCTGAAACGGCGTGAGCCGTTAGATTGGATTTTTTGTGAACCAAGACGTACAACCCACTAATGTTGCTATCAAAAGGAAGCTTTAAGCTTAGTTTTTGTAATTAAGACATTTGTTTATTTGCGGTACGACTTTTGAATAGTAACAACATTTCAAGGACGGTCATAGTTCTGTGCGTCAATGATACCCTTGATTACAACAGTCTTGTTTCTGGTGTCCAGCCTTGGCAAACATTCCAATCATCGTTCTAGGCAGCCCCTAGAACGCCTAGTGAAAACAATCCTTCATTAAAGGAGTTCGCTCACGATGGGTACTAAAACAGCATCTTGGGTCTGGCAAGCAAGAAAGAAATGAGTGCTGTACTGAGATGACAAGGAAAATGAAAATTTTATGGATTCCATCATTACATAAAGCAAAACTTAAATCCTTAAGGAGCATTTGAGAGTTGATATCTCAGTGTCGATGACGAAGCGACGCAGACTGTCCTGGGACGGCTTAGTTTTACAGAACAGAAGGCACTTAAGAGCACAGACGTAGTCGGACATTTCTGGTCTTACACGATTGCTTTATTTTAAACTTAAGAGTTTAAAACTCTCTTTGCATAAGTATGAAAAATTACTCCCCATTGTAATTTCTAAACTTCAAGAAAAATTAGCCCCTAGTGTTTTGAAAGTCCCAAATACATAACTGCAAACCTAGGACTTTTTGAATGTGCCCTCCCCCCTGTTTATGTGCGGACAGAGAATTCTGAAACAATTTTGAAATCTATCAGCTATTTAGAGGAATGTGTAATCAAGGAACGATGGAGCACTTTTGCAGCAAAAGTCATTTCATCAGTTGTTTTGTCTCAAGTATTTAAGCAAGATTACTTCAGGGTGGTTCAATACGGGAGCATAATAAACTTCCCTGCAATGCACGTTAGCGCTTTGCCTGTCATGGTCTCAGGGACGAAATTTACCACATCTATCTCTACAAGAAACGCCCTATTTGAAGTAATGCTGCCCAAAAATGATTAGGCAATTACACTCAGATCACGAACACCACACGTCTTATTTATTGTTTTAATCCGAATCGGTCGCTTTATTAGATGATTTAATGCATTTCATCGTCATAAACAGGGGAAGGCTTGACTCTGGTGGCAAAAGTGGCAATAATTATTTGATTGGTCATCTGTGATCCAAATCAGCCTATCTAATAAATTATTTTTTATCATAAAATTAGTCTTGTGTTTCCGGCGTTTTGGGATCTGCTATGGTGTCCAACAGTTGTGCATCATTAGGCGAGCTGTGCCTGCTTTGTATTTTCGCACGGTTCAAAATTTTTAAGGCTTCTTCACCCAATTTCGTAAATCTGTAATGTTCTGGTTGCTTGTTCAATTCTTCGCTTTAGTTTTGGGGGCACTTAGGGCCCGGTTTTTGTACCTTCACTGGATGGAATGGTCTTCAGGTCATGTCAGTGGCTGCCAGCCCCTCTACGTCGGCAATGCCTGTTCTGCCTTAGTATTCTGTAGTCCTTCGTCTCCATTAAAGTTTGGAGTGCTACAAATGATTGGTGGTTGCTGAGGGCGAACCCGATGCTAAAGAATATCCACATCGAATCCTATCACTGAATGCTGGACCTTAACTTTATGGAAGAAAGGCATATGGTGAGGGTGGGGAAATCTGTGGAATCCCCAAAACAGAAGAATTAAAAACGACGTCTGCCTTCAGCAACTACTCCAGTCCCGCGTTCTGCCGGAAAGCTATTAACAACTGAAGCAAAATCATGCACAAACCACCTGGAAAAGTCCTTTATTGAGCTGTCTACGGTACCCGTATGGTGGCAGTTAAGCACACAACCGATTCATCCTCCACTACCTCTCTACTAGACAGATGGAACCCAGACAAATGGATGTGACTTGGCAGAACTGAAGTAAGAACCAAGTGGCAAGGAGGAATGGACGAGAAACCTTGTCCCCACAAAGCTACGTTGCACCCCGTCCTTTAAGTAAGGGACGGCTTTTAGGCCAGTGTTCCTACGATCAACGATGGGGATGCAAATGTGGCCTGCGCATTTTTTCTTCGCCCGATGCATTTCTCAAGCAGGAGGAAGCTCCAGATCCAGTAGAATTTTTATGAGGGAACATTAGCATTGCAGTCAGATAGTCTCAGCAGCACACAGCTTCGATAACTAGCGCGTTTGGCTCGTTGGTGTCTTTTTTATTTTACAGCAGCAAAAACGCTGTAATAGCCGTCGTGGGATGAGAACCAGAGTAAGTGAAGGGGGTGACGATCAAAAGGAGAATGGGCTGTGTAATTTCTTGATAGTTGGTCTAACCCATCGCTTTTATTCGTGGCCACTTAAGGCTCTGCTATTACACCTCCTCTGGGTTGAATGGCCTCCTGGCCATACCAGTAGCCCTCCAGCCCCATTATACATGATAATAAAATATTCTGCTTAAGTATTACGAATTTTTCTGTCTATGTGACAAGGTCTCGGGGCGCTACAAAGGAGTCACGACGAAATGCAACTGATTGTAGTTCGACAACCAAGGTTTTCACTGCGCATGAGATGGTAAAATTTTTCGTCACTGGCGTTGTATTTCCCCTCTGCATATTAAAAAGTAGTTTGTATTTCCTTTTAAGAAATACAGGCATTTCAGCATAATTTGGTGGAAGGAACCAGTAATTAAAGGCTAGTCTGCTATATTTCAGTTTTGCACGCTACCATTCTGTTTAAACAAAATTCCACATAAAATATGCATGTTTTGATTTTTACCTCCAGCATGTACTTATGAGCATTACGACTAAGTGGCGGATTTTAGGAGCAACGAAGCAGACTTTCTGGAAACACAAAATAGAATTGTTTTGAAGTTATTATCCGGCACTTAGCCGAAGGTGCTCCTATCGGCAGCACGCTGAAATTCTGTATACGCGGAAAATAGGACAAAAAACTTGGCAAATGCATGGTTCCAACCAATTCGAGGGGGACTAATATGAAGCGCTTTTATTCACCTCCTTCGATAGTCAAAATGCAATTTGGCTTCTAACGCGATTGCAGTTAGTCGGTTTTCTGATTTAAATGCATTCATTTATGCAGCAAATG